CACCCGACACCTGATTTCTAGGTTAAGTAACTAAGTGCAGGAGGAAAAGGGGCTGGTCCCCATAACACCAGTGACAAAGACCAAGCTTCTCTGACATTCTTCTGGAGTCTTGGCCTCAGTAGCCTCCAACACTGAAGGAAGTTGTTCTGAGATTTTGCTGTGATTATTCACAGTGAACACAATTTTGGGGCTGCCTACTTGGACCTATACACAGACTCATCGATTGTGTTGCATGTGTGTGTATATGTTGATTTCCCTCTGAATTCACAAGCCAGGCCAATTTGGTTGAGAGGTGTGTTGTCCTTTAGACTGTGAGTGGAGAGAGGACTATTCAGGCATTGGTGGAAATGCTCGTTGTGGTGGCCCGAGAACATGCATTTCCCTGGTTTATGTTGTGTGGCCTTGCCTATGATGGCATCAGGCCCAGCGTAAAGTGTTAGGGAAATAATGTGACCTGGGCTGCTGGGAAAGGCCCTGGCATCTGTCATCTGTGGTCCAGGGTACACTGGGCTGCTATCTGGCCTCATTTCCTGACTGACAGCAGCACTCAGGGCCCATCCTCAGCACCCCGGCACTTGAAGCTCAAGTGTCGATCCTGGAGCTCTCCCCAGAGAGCCCAGTGCATGGAACAGATCACGAAGCAGGGGGCCTGAGGTTCCCCAGATTTCCAGCAGGTAAATGGCACTACAAGCCAGTATCGCACTACAGGCGTCAGGCTTGTCCTCATGCCTGGGTTCACCCAGATTCACTGAAAATGGTTTTTAAATTTATGTGTTTTTTAAAAAATAAGAACTTCCTCAACAAAGCTCAAAAATTCCCTGGAACATGTGAGGGAAAAGGACTTAGAACTTCTCTGCATGCAGATGGTCTTGGGCTTGCTTCTGCAGAAGGGTCTGGTGCAGGCGGCTGGCACAGTGGGGTCAGAGGGGTCTCTGCTGGCATCCTGATGGGTCTGGCCATTTGTCAGCAATTAACACTGGATCCCTGCTGAAGGGGACAGAGGGCAGTTGGTTTGGGGGAAAGGGCATGTGTTCCAGTGATTTGCCCATGGGTTTATTTACTTGGGTCTCTATAATTCTTTGTTTTGATTTTTACAAAGTCTCAGTGTCAGCTTGAATTTCGCACTATTCACGTTTGCTGGCCTGACCTTCGGTAAGTGGTCAGGCTGTATGTCACATTCCTCAGGGTTCATAAATGTCATTAGGTCAGCAAGTCGATGCCGATGGATTAGAGGCTTGCTTGGCTTTTGGGGCTTTTCGATTTGTGGAGTTTTAAATATGTACCACCGTGTACACCAACATACACCAATACCAAAATGTATACCAGTATATCACCTATGAGCCAAAGCCACAGGGAGGGTGTGGCTTGCTGGGAAGGATGCCGAGGAGGGAGCAGGAGAGCTTCCTCGTGTCTGAGCTTGTGTCCCACGGCTGGCCAGCTAGTTCTCCCATCTGTGAAATCACAGAGTTTGTTCATGGAACCTCAGAAATCCATTCCAGTCTTAACCATCTGTGATTCTCCTGTCTTCATTTTTAAAAATGTAGATGAGATTGTATGGGGCTAAGTGAAGTAAAACTTGTATCAATTTATTAACATTAAAGAAATGAATATTCAGTGCAAGTGAAGGGTGAAATGTTTTAATGGACACACGAGCTCCTTGCTTATGCCCACCCGGCCTGATGTTCTCTATGATTTTGGAAAAGGAAACGCTGTCCTGCCACGGGCGGAGAGGCTGGAGTGGACAGAAAGGCTGTAGGGTCCCCATCAGAGTTCGGTTCCTCTGCTTGGATTTAGAGGCTGGGTCAAGGTCCATTTCCAGGACCAAATGGAGTCACCAAATTCTAGCATAGTCACTCCCCTTTCCCTCTCCTCCCCACTCTCTCTGGCAACATCATTCTGGAGTAGATTTATTTATTATGGGTCTGTGGCTCTGTAGGTGTCAAGCAAGTATAACAAAAAAAATTGCTGTCCCCACAACAGGCTAAGGTAGACAGAAGTAACTCAGTGTTGGATGGGAGAGATACAAAGCAAGAGTGAGTCGGAAGTGTGGAACACTGTCACACCAGATGCCTCTGTGCAGTAATGCATGTGGCTGGGGGGAGCGACACTGGATTTAGACCATCCAGGGAATATTGCTTTGTATCCAGAGAGCTCTGTGAGAGCTTTGCAAGATGATAGAGTTACTATTCATGAGCCTCACTGATTGCCTGATGCTGTGGGCTTGTTTGGGGTGACCCACTGTGGTGTGACCCTCACTGTGTTTTATCTCATTTAGTTCTGCCAGCAGCCCTGAGATGTAGGTACTCCCCATTTTACAGGTGGGAATATGGGGCCTTGGAGAAGCCCACTGACCAACGTGAAGTTAAACTTAGATCTGGGCAACCTGAGAGCCCACACTCAGCCACCACCCTGCCCCACCTGAAGGAGGGGCCGGCATCAGCTGGGAAGGCCAGAGAACCTTTCTCCGACAGCACAGCCCTGATGCGTGCCACACCATGTCTCTTGTTGTTGCTGTTTGGGGATTTTGGCTTTATTTCTCATCTTTTCCCTCATTTAGTCTAGAGAGCAGCTAGTACGTTTCAGTCACTAATAGCTGGCACACAGCCAGAAGTGCCATGCGATGTCTCCTCCACCTGCACGGGCAGTTTGTACTTCAATCTGTTTCAGTCGTGTTGTTTGAAAAATGAAGCTTAGGAACCAAACGCTGCAACTGTATCGCTCTCATCATGGGGCATGGCCCCAGGGGATAAAAAGCCATACAGATTTAGCTTGTTCAGAAGTTTGCTCTTTTCAAAATAATAACTAAAGTTATGACATGATTAATAGTAGAACCATGAAGTAGTTAACTGTTAGAGATGGAAGGACCCTTAAGAGTGTGGAGTTAGCAGACCAGGACACTAAAGCCTGGAGAGAGGGGGGACTCTGTCCCATGCAGAGTCAGGACCTGACTGGGGCCTGAGGACCCCACCCCCCACTCTCAGCTTCTGCCCTCTTAGGCCACCAAGGAAAACATTCCACAGAGATGGCTCGTGGTCATATTTATAAGGGTCTCCCACTGTGATTTTCTTCATCCTGTTCTTGAAAAGAAGGCTGACCCCATGGGAAAAACCTATAACAATGAACTTTGTTGAATTTTACAACTTTTTAGTCTTTCTTCTGAAGCCAAGGCTTGAAACAGCCATGTAGAAGAGGATTGCAGGAGCATCTTTGTGCGTGTGTTTCTTTTCACAGAGCTTTCTGCTAAATGTTTTTCCATGATTGGACTATTGGTCTTCTTGGTTTATTTTTGTCTCTCTCTCTCTCTTTTTTTTTTTTGCATGGATTTGTGAAAAAGTGAATCAAAGTGTGTAGTGGGTTTTTTTGACCTAACTAAGGAAGAGAAAGTTATTCTGCGAGAATACCAGTTGTGTGATGTGGGTCTGTGATTCTGCTCATTGGGCCTTTCCTTTGAAACCTTTGCCTAAATGTTCCTGCTGAGACTCCCACCCAGGCAGGCCCAGTTTATGGGGTGCTCACAAAAGAAAAGTCATCTTCTCTGTTGCCTTCAGAAAAGATACTTCTTAGACCTCTGGGCCCTTTGAGTCAGGTCCCCCGACCCAAGGGGAGTCATTCACACCGCGCCACCACGCCTGTCACCAGAACAGGGTCAGCAGACTGGTGGCTGTGCACACAGAGCCCACTGACACAGCTCTTTGCCCTCTGTGCCTGGGCTGACCACAGTCTCCACCATAGCGCTCAGGTGCCACCACCAGTGTTTGTGGATGAAACCGAGTCATCCTTGCTCAGAGGAGCCATGTGGAAAGAGGCCACAGGGGGAAGGCCTTCTTACTGACGCTGTAAGGTCTATAAAGACACTTCCAGTTTGAAATTAAGCATGAGGAAAAAGCGGAGCATGTGTTTGGGTGACTCTCCCAAGTTTACATCTTCCATGGTCTCTCCTAACACCAGAGCAGAATTAGTCGCTCCTTGCCCAGACCCCTGAGAGGGGTCTGTATTTCTGCATTTCACAGTTAATTGAAATCCACTGGGGGCTTGCCTCTCCCATGGGCTCTCCAGGGCAGGGGCAGTGCTGAGCCTGTCTGTGCCCCGCACCTCCGTCACCACCTGGTCTCCAGCACTCACTCGTGATGTTTATGGAGTTAATCAAGTGGATGGGAAAAAACACTGAGGTGCCAGATTGTGTCCCTGGGGTGTCCCTGGGCCTCCTGACAATTTAGTGGTTGCATTTCCACATTTCCTCCACTTCTCCAGCTCAGGACCCTGCTGTGCAGGAGGGAGACATGCCCCGAGACCCTGGCTGCACTGGGACCACAGTCAGCTTTCCCCTCTGACCACTGGGTGGGGGGAACCTCCTACCCACAGGCTCTACTTCCTAGTGCTCTAGTCCTGGTTCTTTGGTGAGAGCCTCTGTATGCTGGCTTCACAAGCTCAGCAGAACTTAGACATCATATAAACTATCTAAAGGTGGTTAGAGTTCTTAAATTTTAAAAAAGATTTTGTGCTTGGTACTTTCATGCACTTCTCCATCCACAATTCCTCCTCTCCTTCAATATATTTAAAATAAGACTTTATTCGTGAAGTATTGGTCTATTCACAGATGTTCTAGTACACCCGCTGGGGCAAGCAAAGATGTAGCTGTACCTGAAGTGTCTTGGTGGCCGCGCAGTGCAAACCTGGAAGCCAAGAGAACGAGCTGGTACCAGGCGCAGTGACAGGATTGTTTCGTCCCTAGGTTGCTTTTCTTGGGAAATATCTGGAGGGACAGAATTTGCTCCTGGTGGGGACTCTGGGCTTTTTGGGCAGATTAGGAAATCAGAGGCTTCCCTACGGTGGAGGTGCCTGACTTCTCAGCACTTCCTTTTGCTGGTCAAGCTCCTGAGGGCCCTTCATCACCCTTCTCCCAGGTCCCCAGAGGGTCTGCCTTGTGTCTTGTATCCACCCCGCTCCTGGGTACGCAGCGCCTCCAGGGCCCCACCTGAAGGGTTTCCTTCTCCCCACAGCCAGCATGCCGACCAGCGAGACGGAGTCCGTGAACACAGAGAACGTAAGTGGTGAAGGCGAGAACCAAGGCTGCTGTGGAAGTCTCTGGTGAGTGTGGAAGCTGCCTGCCCTCTAGGCTTCTGCTGTAGTCATCTTAGAGAAGCAAATGGAGTTCGGGGGCCACATCCTCAGGGGCAAAAGGGGCGAGTGTTTGGGGGACTCTCCCAAGTTTCCATCTTCCATGGTCTCTCCTAATGCCAGAGCAGAATTAGTCGCTCCTTCCCCAGACCCCTGAGAGGGGTCTGTACCCCTTGGTCCCTTTTCTACCCTCTTGGTCCCTTTTCTACCCCCAGCCCCTCCCATCCCTCTTCCTCCAGAGCAGCAGTCCTGCTGAAGTGCAGCCTGCTGCACAGGGTGCCAGGTAACCCACCGTCCCACTGTGTCCACTAGGTGCTGGTGGAAAAGAAGAGGCGCGGCCGAGGCTGGGCCCTCTGGGTGTCGGCGGTGGGGGTAAATGGACCAGTTCTTCTCCAAGTCTGGTGTTGGTGTCAGTGCTTAGAAGAAGAGCTTGTATGGCAGAGTGGCTGACTAGAATGTGCTACATATTTAAGTTTCCCTTCGTGCATGGGTTCTCCCAACCTCATGCACAGCAGCTGGATGGCAAGACCCTGCCCACCTCTGCTCGCAGCACTTTTTCTTGGGAGCCTTGCACCACCCTTTTCTAATAGTGGAGGGTGCCATCCCGTTAACCCCCATTGGCTTCTTTCCTGGAGGATTTGGACTGCTGCAGTGGGGGACTAGCAGGGTGAAATGTGCCTGCTTGGGTTGGGGGGGCATCCATGCAGTTTTGTTTTGTTTGCTTCCATGTGGCATCTTTTAGGTCTTATCTCTGCAAAATATAGGTGTCATTTTTAAGAGAATTTGATCTCCTTCATAGAGGTGCATAAAAATGATGTGTTGTAGGCAGGATATTCAACAGTTTGCAAAGTGCATTTGCTGTCTTTCTCTTGCTCTGCCCTCCGTACAATATTTTGAAGCAGGCAGGAAATGGGTTTATCTTCCCCATTTTACAGATGAGAACACAGAGGCCCCAAAAGATATGCTGCTTGCCCAAACTCACACAGTTAGTGAACAGCGGAGCCAGGACTCCTGGTCCAGTGCTTCATTAGCCACAGCAGCAGCAGCATATGCTGCTGTTGAGCTGTGTGTCTGGTTGCAGGCAGGAGAGGCCCTGCTGATTTCAGTTTGGGGAACGTGGGTGGGGGCAGGGGAGAAGGACCCCTGGCATCACTGCCTGTGCCATGGCTGCTCAGGGCATCTAGCTAAGAGCCTCTTCTTTCTGGGGCCCCAGGGGGTGCTCCGCCTGGCCTGCCTGGACAGGCAGCATCTTATTCCTGCTCTGCAAATACCCCAGCTGGCCTGCTGCAGGAACTGGGGGTGCTGAGTCCTGCTTCTGTGCATGGCTTTTCCTTTATCTCAGCTGACATGATGGGTGGGGGTCGGTGGGGAGAGTATGCTCAAGCCTTCCTAACACGAATGATATTCTTTTTGTCTTTCAGTCAAGCCATCTCAAAATCTAAGCTCAGGTCAGTATCTTCTTTCTATTTTTACGTAAGCAGGTGTGTTGGTTTGTTACCTTTAACTTCTGAATTTTACATGGAGTTGCTCCATGGAGAACAGTATTCAGATAAAAGATCCATCTGCCTGGTAAACATTAAGCTCCTGTCTAGGAGAGCAGCATAGTTAGTAGATGCCAGAGATCTTGCCCCAGAGCAAAGATGCAGCAGTGAATAATTTCTCACCACTAACCAGCCCTTCATATTCCCTCCTGGAGGTGTTTCTCTAGGAATAATATGTCTTGTCAATTTTCTGCCTAAAGGTTTCTCATAGAAGGAGGTTCAGGACATTTTCTGAGGTGCTAGTAATGTTCTGTTTCTTGCCCTGGCTGTGGTTTACATGGCCAGTTGGTAAAAACTCATTGAATTATATACCTATGATTTGTGTGGTTTTCCATATAAATGTTCTTTTTAAATTAAAAACATTTTACCACTATATATAAAATTTAATTTGAACATAGAACTAAATGTGAAACCTAAAACTGTAAACATTCTAGAAGAAAACAGGAGAAAAATCTTTGAGGCCTTGGGTTAGGCAAAGATTTTCTTGGCTAGAACACTCAAAGCACCAGCCATAACAGAAAAAAAAATGATAAATTAGACTTCATCAAAATGAAAACTCTTGCTCTTCAATAGAAAATAAAAAAGGTAAGTTCTAGACTGGAAGAAAAAATATTTGTAAAACACATTTGATAAAGGACTAGTACTTTGTATATGGAAAGAATAATATATAAAGAATAGTGTATATAATAAGAAAGCAACCCAACATAAAATGGAAAATAGATTTTAAGAGGCATGCTATCAAAGAAGAGAGATGGATGGAGAATAAGCACATGAAATGACCATTGGTCATTAGGAAAATGCAAATTACAATCACAGTGAGATACCACTACATACCTATTAGAAAATTTCTTTACACCTATGGGTCAAATTTAAAAGTCTGACAATACTTAGTTCTGACAAGACTGTAGATCAGTGGGAATTCTCATGTACTTCCACTTGTCAAATGACAGACATTTTTAAAACAAGTTGGCAGTTTCTTATAAAGTTGAACATATATTTACCTTATGACCCAGTAATCCCATTTCTAAGATTTATGTCAGGGAAATGAAGATACATGCCTACACAAAAATTTTTATATTTATGGCAGCTGTATTTACAATTGCCAAAACTGTAAATAACTCAAATGTCTGTCAAATGGTGACTGGTTAGAGAAGTTATAGTTCATCCGTATGGTGGAAAAATGCTCATCAATAAGAAGGAAAACTGATAGAAGTGACAGCACAAATGAATCTGAAAAGAATTTTTGCTAAGTGAAAGAAGCCAGTCTCACAAAGTATATTGTATAGACAGGACAGGCTGCCTATTTACAGGACAGGCTGATAAAGCAAAACAATAGGATCAACCAGCCAACCAACAAAACCCCAGATCAATAGTTGTCACGGTTTGGGGTGAGGAGACTGATTTGACCCCAAAGGACCAGGAAGGAACACTTGGAGTGATGGAAATAGTCTAAATCTTAACTGTGGTGGTGGTTACAAACAGTATATCTAAAAAGAGTAAATTTTGATATCTATAAATTATATCTCAATAAACCAGACTTTAAACATAAGTTTAAAAGCCCTTCCATGACTCCCTGTTGTCAGAGGGCATGTTAATTCCTCCATAATTTGACCCCTGGCTCACCATCTGGCCTTGTCTTTTGGTAGTGCCTTCTTGCTCCCCACTGCTCTGTTTTAAGACAAACACACACATTTTCAAACACACTATTTCTTCTCACCTAAGTCGCCTTAGTCCTGCAGTCTCCCCTGAGCCCAGTGCCCTTCCCTCTGCCCCCTGCGAACTCCTGCTGAACTGTGGAGGGTCAGTGCAGATCTCGGTTCTTCAGAGAAGGCATCCTGACTCTTAACAAAGAGCACTAGCAGCTCCCTTCTCTTTGCTCCTGTATCTGGTGCTTTGGGAATAGCGCTTGGTACGGATTTATAATTTATGACCCTGCATGCTTTGGATAGGGGCCATGGGACCGTGTCTTCTTCATCTCCATATGCACAGTGCCTGGCACAGAGCCTGGGCACTCAGCACCCAGTGGGGGTCAAGATGGGGAGTGCTGCAGGATTTCAGGGATGTGGCAATAAGGTAACCTTATTGTCACATTGGTGGGAGACACCTATGACTGGTCACTGCAGCAGAGACCCACCAAGGCTGGATCTTACTCAGGCTAGTATCCACCTTGCTAGTGTGTGCTGAATTATTTGAAAGAATCCAGCCTAGAGGGGACAGTCTTTAGTGTCCTCTGTAGAACTTTCCTTTGCTGGGCATCTTGTTTTCAGCTGCTGTTACCACTGTAAACCATACAGCAAGAGCAGTAACAAAATGTACCTTGTTAGTTCTAAGTCTTGCTGAAGAGTTAGCACAATGCTTTCTTTGCCTGGTCCCCGGGTTTCAGTGTGTTTAACTTGGCAGTGCAGCTGAGTCAGCCACAGCTGCTGCCTGGACACAGCCTGGAGAGTCCTCCGACTCAGGCGCCACGAGCACAGCCCGCTTCACCACACAGTCCTGGGGCAGGGGTGTTTCCACAGAGAGACAGGATAAGGGAGAGAATACTTTCCCTCATTACAAACTGGAACTGAAAGGCAGTAAAGGACATGCTACTTGTCTGTTTGGCTCAGCTCATTTTATTTGCATGAAAACACGATTCAATATTGGCTCTTCTCCTAAAGGTATATTTTGAACATCACTAGTGAGAAAGGGCACCTGGTGACTCAGTATGAAGACTCATGTCCTACCCAGCTTCGGCAGCTCTGCCAGGCTCCAGAGAAATCTCCCAGATTTAAGAAAGGACTGAAAGTTTCCCTAAAAGGAAAACTGGTTCTGGAGCACTCCAATGCCTGATAAATTTTGTATGATGATTGAGAGGCTGCGAGAGATGTAATGACAAGCTAAGTGGCTCTGTGCACCAACAGATCCATGTACCATATGGGGGGATGTGAACTGCATATGCATGATAGCTCAGCTTTGCATCTGCACATGGGTTTGGAATATCTAGATTTTCTAACTGGCTTGAGGACTCTCTGTGACAGCTTGTGGAGTTCTCTGAAGCCATAGTAAGGAAACTGATAGCATGATCAAATCAAGATATAATACTTTAAAAAGTTGTATTTTAAGATCAACGTAATTTGTATTCTGAGGTCTGTTCATTTCTCTGCCATTTTTTTCTTGTCTTTCCTTCCCACACCCCTGCTCCAGTCTGGGCCTCCCATACCGGGCCTCCTGGGGTGGGAGACAATTTCCCAGTGAAGCTGATTGGACACACAAGGCTCTGTCTGACATTCGGAGAGTAACGTCTGCCTCTCTTTCAGCCGGCGCTGGCGTCGCTGGAACCGATTCAGTCGCAGAAGATGTAGGGCTGCCGTGAAGTCTGTCACGTTCTACTGGCTGGTTATTGTCCTGGTGTTTCTCAACACCCTAACCATTTCCTCTGAGCACTACAACCAGCCCGACTGGTTGACGCAGATTCAAGGTACAAGCAGGGGCTGTTCAATTTTTTACCCTAATGAGGGATCCTTGAGGCTGTCAATTGCACTTCAGTCTCGCCTGCTTGATGTGTGACAGGGTGCAGGAACATTTCTAGTGTGCATTCACTTGGAAGACAGTGGACTGTGCAAGCACAGGGTGCCCCTGGCATGGAGGTGCAGGCTGTGTGTGGTGAAGGAAGCACCTTGGAGCTGACGAGCACCAGGGCATCTCCTTGTCTTCACCCCGTGACCACGTAGGGTCCAGGAATCTTCCAGTTGGAAGGGACCTCCATCGCTTCTCCCTCTCCCTTACCCCACTAAAAGGAAGCTTTATTTCCCCTTGTTCTTGGCAAGTGGTGATTGTTCCCTTGTCTTGACTGTCCCAGCAATGGGGTGTGGTTTTTGTCCCCAAAGACAGCCCTTTCTGAATGTGACAGTTTTGAGCCATTGAGAAGCCCTGTTTTACAATCAAGTCAAATCTGTTTCTGTCCAACTCTCCAGCCTGCTGGGAGGTATTTTCTGCTGATAGAAATGACCTTGATAGGCAACTGCTTCTTATGTTGTGGTGCTGTAAACAAGACTGGACAGATCTTTTGTGACTGATGGAAACAAAATATAACATGATGGACTAAATGGAGAAAGCATCAGAGATTATGTGGTAAACTGCCCCTCCCTGTTTTAGAATCAGTGAAACAGAGGCCCGGAGACACCAAGGACTCTCTGCAGAGTCCCACGTCCAGGGTAGTAGCGGCAGCAGGACTAGAACCTGGCAGACAGGCAGACCACATGTGTTAGTGCCACGTTTCTGTAATGGAAGCATTGGCAGAGAGGGGGCAGAGGTGCTTGGGCATTTCCGGCAGGGGCTGACTGGTAGTGGGGAAGAAGCGGAGCCTGAGCCACTGCCACCATGAGATCCCAAGGACAGGAACCTCTTTGTCTTTCCAGATATCGCGAACAAAGTCCTCCTGGCTCTGTTCACCTGCGAGATGCTGGTCAAGATGTACAGCTTGGGCCTCCAGGCATACTTCGTCTCTCTTTTTAATCGGTTTGATTGCTTCGTGGTGTGTGGCGGAATTACGGAAACGATCTTGGTGGAACTGGAGATCATGTCTCCCCTGGGGATCTCTGTGTTTCGCTGTGTGCGCCTCTTACGCATTTTCAAAGTGACCAGGTGAGGACATATGTATGTTGCTGCAGGTGTTTCCTGAACATGAGGTGGTGGTGAGCCACATCCCTGGTCAGGTGAAGTTCTGCGTTCCGGGGTTACACCCTCATCTTGACTTGCAGGCACTGGACATCCCTGAGCAATTTGGTGGCATCCTTGTTAAACTCCATGAAGTCCATCGCTTCACTGTTGCTTCTGCTTTTCCTCTTCATCATCATCTTCTCCTTGCTCGGGATGCAGCTGTTTGGTGGCAAGTTTAATTTCGACGAGACGCAGACCAAGCGGAGCACCTTTGACAATTTCCCTCAAGCCCTTCTAACAGTGTTCCAGGTGAGCCCTCCCGTCTGCCTCTCCCTGAGAAGCACGTAAGCAGACGCCTTCTTGTCTGTCCACAACTCAGGGAGACAGAATGATTCCATTTTCATTAGTAACCTCTGCCCCAATAATGCTCTGACAAGTTTTGTGCCATTTAAGCCATTTCTTTTGCATCTTAATCCAGCTGTCTACATGATGTGCGGTTTAATGTTTTCGTCAGCCCACTGGCTCTGAGGTTTCTGTGAGATAGGCTCTGAAATCCTTTTCTGGTTCTGTGCTAAGCTTTGATCGTGGGCAAGTTTTGTAATCCGGGCTATAACAGATGTACGCAAAGAAGTGAATTCTAAAGCCCTAATGCTTCTGTGACGTGAGGAATCAGGGTGATGAGAGAGCTGTGACGGCCTCTGCCCCGTTGTTGCCCTCCCACGTGTGATGTAAGGAGGACACAGACTCTGAGGTGTCGGTGCTTCCGGGGCCCTTGTGGGCAGTGAGGCTGCAAAGGAAGTGACAGTGTGAGACAGGATAGCAGCCTCTCCACCCCTTCTGGCCCTCGGCTGAGTTGTTCTAAACCCCCTCTGCATCTTCCTGTGTTGTGAGCTAGAGCCCTTCTGTGCACAGGGCCTGGCAGATAAGTTTAAAGCCCCATCTGCCCTTGTGGTTTTTCACACTCCGAGTCAGGGAGCTTCGGGGCCCCCTGGGGGGGTGGCCAGGCCAGTGCAGGGGGGGGGGCGGGGGCAGTGGGTATTGAGGGCCCAGGGGGCTCTCTCGGTGCTCAGCTCTGGCCCTGGAAAGTCACTTTCCTTTTCTGAAAGAAAACAATACAAAACAAAACAAAAGGCCACAGGGAAGGATCTCTAAGATTCTTTCCCACTTAGTCATTTTGAGGTAAATGAAATATCTATCAGTGCTATAGGCTCTGACAAAATTATACTTAATTTTTAAAATTTTTTGAGATTTTTTGAATTACACTTGATTTTGGGCCACTGATTAAGTCATTTATTTTTCTGATTTCCTTCAGAGAAACCTGTGTGGTGGTGGTTTTGTAATATATGTACATGGCACAAAATTCAAATGTTACAAGAGGATATAAAGTAACAAGTGCCCCTCCCACCCGCCCACCAATTCCCCTTCTGGGAAGCAACCACCATTAAATAGCTTCTTGTGTACTCTGAGATATAATCAGTTAACCTGCTTACAGATGAATGTACACAGATGGTAGTTCACTCTACATGCTGTTTCCATCTTATTTTTTACCACTTAAAATGTCCTTTAAAGCCTTCCTTATTGTTCGGTAAAAGGTTGTTACCTCCTTTCCTCTGCTGCATAAATTCTGTGGTTTGGATGTGCCATGATTCATGGAGCTAGCCTCCTGCTGATAAATACTGTGTTGTGTCTGGCCTTGCCTCAGTGGGTGACTTTGAACATACAGGGACACACGTGTGAGTAAATCTGTAGGATGAATTCTGCTGGTTTAAAGGTGTGTGTCCATTTCCAACTCCGATGCCCTCACCCCAGTGTTCTCCTTGAGGGCGCACTCATTCATCCTCCGGGGATGGAGTGTGGAGCCTGCCCATTGCCTCGCTCCTTTTCCGGTGGTTGCCTGTCTGATCAGTGGAAATGCAATCTTGCTGTTTTAATTCGTATTTTATCAGGAGTAAACCTGAATATCTTTTCATGTGATAAAGAGCCATGTATAGTTCCTTTTCTGTGACTTGCTTTATCCTTTCAAGTCATTTGCTCATTTTTCTGCTTGGTTTTGAGCCACAACAGTTTTAATTTTTAAAGTATCTGGTCCAGATAGACGATAAAGGAGAATGCTCTCTCCTATCTCTCTCGCTGTCTCTTTTTCTGGAAGGTAGTGTATTTTGACATTGCTGTTAATGTTCATCTGATTCTATTTCATAATGGATGGAATTATCAAGTACAGTAGAAAAGATTATATTTGAAATTTAGGTAGTTATTAGTATCTACTCATGAGGTAGCTTGAAATTTGCATAAGATAATTAGAGAATTCCCTGCTTGTAAAAATTCATAGATATAATTCTCCATTTCCACAGTTGGTTAACTACAATATGTAGAATACTAGGCAGCAGTTAAAAAGAATGAAATGAAGCTACTGACACAGAGGTTCTTCAGAGTATATTGTTGAGGGGGGAAAAGAGCAAAAAAATTTATATAGTATGATATCCTTTATGTCTAATAAATCAGAGAAGACACCAACTGCCTATTTCCTCTGAGTGTGTAAATGCATGTTTAAGTCTGCAGATAAAGGCCCTGAAGAGGGCCATCCCAACAGCATGCTCTCTGGGGAGGGGACTAAAACTGGGCTGGGGCGTCCTCCAAGAGCACATAGGCCTTACATGTACGTTATTTTCACTGGAATGATTAACTCATCCATTTGTTTAATTTAAAAATAATGTTTTGAAATCTCTGGGGGATAACAGGTGGATTTGCTCAGTGCAAACTGGACTCTGAAAGGCAGTTTAAACCAGATTTAGGCAGCCACCTGGAGCTCTGGGAGAACACCTGGGCCTTGTGGGTCCACCTGCCGGCTGATCTAAGTTTTGGCTTCTCAGATTCTGACAGGCGAAGATTGGAATGCTGTGATGTATGATGGCATTATGGCGTACGGGGGCCCATCATCTTCAGGAATGATCGTCTGCATCTACTTCATTATCCTCTTCATTTGTGGGAACTGTATCCTTCAAGCTGACCAGGGCTGTGTTGTTGTCCCTGTCGTGTTTTGTTGCTCCCTCTCCGGATCTCCCCATCGGGGTGGTAGCAGCTGTTGTGATGGGGAGGTGGGTGCCCTTACCTTTTCAGTCAGCTCTCCTTCACAGTTGCTGGGAGAGCATAGTGGAGGCAGAGTCCCAGTTAGGCTCTGAGGAGTGACAGCAGGCGTGGGCAAGGATCCTGAGACAGGGCAGGGACTGCCTCTGCGGTGTGGTCGCCCAGCCTGGTGTCATAGCACCTGTACAGGTCCCATGGGGATAGCTTAGGGTGAAGCCAGGTGGCTCTCCATGCCATCATCCTTGGGAGGCTGGGGCATATTTATGTCTTTGTAGGGACCCACCTTCAGTGGATGGACCTAAGTGCCCCTGAACCTAATTTTGCTTTGCTGATCTGCACATTTTTGAAAGTCGAATATCCATTGGCTTGTTGCTGTATTATGCAGTGGAACTTTTCTTCAACTTGTTTATTCCTTTTCACTGCCAAGAAGTACTCTCTAATCCTGGACTTCTGGAAACTCAGATCTCTCTTTATCTTGGTTAGAACTTTTATAACCCATAACCATTGCTTGTGTCTGCTGTATCTCTCTGTCCTCCCTGCCTAGCCCAAGACCTGGCACACGGAGCCCCTCAATAAATGTTTGGTGGAAGAGCTATTATACAGACACATGAATACCACCTCAGACTTGTGGAGGCCCTGTTTAAAAAATAGTCTAGCATCTCAAAGGTGGTTTGAAAGTTGGAATATAATTCATTCATGTTTCTGTCCCCTTAAAGACATGAACAGATTAGTCAAGTGTGGAATCCCCTGGGAGCTGTCTCATCATCGGTCCCTTGTGAGGTTATGTTTGTTTACAGCAACCCACCTGAGGTTTCAGGTTGCACAGGGCCCATGGGGCAGTGCAGTGGTGCTCCTCTCCTGTCTCAGGGCCTGGGCTCCCGCACACACAGGTCTGGGCCTCAGCCCCAGAGAAGCATTAGTCAGAGAAGGGAGTCATCTCCACTCTGTCCTCTGATCCCTCTGCTTCCTGAAAATGGACTTAACTGCTGGTGAATAAGAAACAGGCATCTTCTGATTTGGGAACCGTGTTCAGAAATTTTTTTTTCAGTCATTCATGGAAACCACACATACAACACTGTTGTAAAAGCCTAAAACCTTACAACTTGCTCAAATGCTTAACTTTTCACTATTTGAAAACATACAATTCAACCACAGCAGTCAAAGACTTCACCACAGTGGGCCTATTCAGAAGAATGGCCCGGCACCAGTGGGCAGGCCCGCTGCAGCCGGTGCGTACGGTGCACACGCACGGTGTGTGCACACTCTGAAGGCTGTTTTATGTGAGAAAGGCTGAGACTGCTTTGAGTGATGGGATCATCATTTACATAATGTGTAGCCTTTAAGGGGTCTATTTTAGAAAACATGCCCCAAATAAACATGTTGTAGGTGGATGAGTGTGTTTTAAAAGAAACAAAATGCACAAAGAGAAAATGCAAAACGCATTGAAAACTCCATGTTTATGTTGTAGATTGTCTTTTGCTATGTGCAAGCACACATAGATTTTCATGGATTTTAACAAATCTTAATTTTGCTTCTTTCCAGACTGTCTTCCACAGTTTTCTAGGTTTTTTTTGTTTGTTTGTTTGTTTGTTTGTTTAAGAAAACAGGTATCTGGTCCTCTGGCTTTGCCAGATGAATATAGCACTAGGGAACACTCAGTCACGTCATCAGCCTCACAGAATGTGGGGAGGTGCTGGGGGTGATGTTGCTGTTGCTGACCATGCTTTAAGCAGGTGTTATGCCCTTAAAATGTCCCAATTAGATATCCTACTGAATGTCTTCTTGGCCATTGCTGTAGACAATTTGGCTGATGCTGAAAGTCTGAATACTGCTCAGAAAGAGGAAGCTGAAGAAAAGGAAAGGAAGAAGATTGCCAGGTAACCCCACTTTCAGCTAAGGTGTTTGCTGAGGGGGCTGCCCGGGGAGCCAGCTGCAGGTGAGGCCTGGCAGAGCCTCAAAGACCCCGCAGCAGCTGCAGCCCTCTGTTGCTGCTTGGTGGTGACCGTGGGTGGCCACGTGGGGCTGACCCAAAAGGATGGAATCTGGGGCAGAACCCAGTCCCTTGGCTCTCATTGCAGAGCTAAGAGTGGGAGTCACCCACCCCCATGCTTAAAGAGTCACTGCAGTTAATTTTGGCATCATAAAATAAATGATGCATTCAATGCTGATTAGCTTTTGGATGAAAATTTTAATAAGATGATCCATGTAATAAACCAGTGCACTGAATGAACAGAAGCTGCAATGTGGGTTGTGCTATGTTCTTGCTGTTCAGGTTGTTTCCAATTAAATTCTGTCCTTTATCAGGCCACTCTTGATTCAGAATCCTGATTAGCAATTTTATTCACAGAAATATAGTTACTTGGTTTCTTGTGTCCTGTTCTCTACTCTGCAGAAAAGAAAGCCTGGAAAATAAAAAGAACAACAAGCCGGAAGTCAATCAGATAGCCAACAGTGACAACAAGGTGTGTGATCCGAAACACTGCTCCCCTTTTCATTTCAGGTGATTCTGTTGCTGTCACCAAAAAGCACCCTTTCTGCATGAAGGTGTCCGGTGTGTTGTTTCAGGGTGTGGCTGTGGTGTGCTGTTCTCGCTGCCTTCCCTGGGGTTCTGAGTGAATTCAGGCACTTAGCTGGTTGTTAGCCACTATTTTACCAGAGAACCACTATGTTAAATATTTGACTGGTCTGATCACTTACTTGTCCCTTACTGGACTTGTGTGGTCAGACCTGGCCTAGGTTAGTGTCTTCTCAGGATTTGAATCAAGAATTGTTAATAGATATCTGTCTCCAGAGGAGATTGCAGGGTCAGGGTCTGTGTGCTCAGGGTTATACTATCAAACTTCATCCCGTGTATAGCAGCTCTGAATTTTTCATTCATTTTTGGTTGTTTGTTCACTGAGTCAGTAAACACTTGTTGTGTGGTTACCACGTGTCAGATACTGGGGACTGAGAGTGAACCAGACCAGCAAGGCCCCTGCCTGTGTGGAGCTCTCTGTCTAGAAGTGAGGCAGCAGCCTTCAGTGCGTGGCAGTGCTGGGTGCTGGACTGTGGCTGGGAGGGGTCAGACCAGTGTGCTCTTCATCTGCCCTCAGACCTCCGTCTCCCGCAGAGCCGCCGTGTGGGGCACCTGCTGCCCCTGCACACTCACTCACGTACCGTGCACATGTGGAAGAGAGTTCCTCTGCCCCGTGCTGAGTGGCAGGGCTGAGTCCTCACCACGGCCCTCTAACATGCATTGTAGTCAGAATCCCCCCTCCTCCCAAGAACTCTGTGTCATCCTAGGTTACAATTGATGACTACCGAGAAGAGGATGAGGACAAGGACCCCTACCCACCTTGCGATGTGCCAGGTATGGTGGCGGGGCTGGAGACAGGCTCTCAGCTCACGAGTGACGTGGCTTTGCCACTACTCTGTGTTCAGTGGCTGAGTCTGTGGCTGGCCAGCCTAGCTGGCGCACATTCTGGGTGGGCTGCTGAGGTCACTGAGTCCAGTCACCTGCTTTTTCTCTTGGTCACAGGCAGCTTACGTAATCCAAATTCCAGGTGGTGGGAGAAAGTGTAGGTGGATCAGGAAAAGGCCAGCCTTTGCTGGGAAATCTCTCTAGGAGGCAACCAGTTATAACTACTCATCTGACATTTTCACATTTGACCGGTGCCTTTGTTGGCTGATATAGAGGGACTGTGGGGCCTGGGGGACTGATCATGTGTGGCTCAAAGCCCCACACAGTGTTTCAGACTGAAGCTGAACAAGGAGGTTACTAGGGACACAGCAGGGTGTCTGGGGATGGCAATGAGAATCCCAGTGCTGCCCCTTTTTTTTTTCCAACTGTGTTCAGATCTTCATCTGCTGGGGACCTCATTCCCACAACTACACACACTCACCATACAAGCAAGATTCTCAGTCCTCTGCCTCCCTACCACATAGTCCCTATTCTAAAAGGTTTTGATTCATGTAAGCTGATAGATGTTGTTAAAGTAAGTGTAAGCTAAATTTTCTTGTGAAATTGAGAATAATTAAAACCCAAATGCAGCCTTTGTGTCATGCCTATAAAAAAATGTCTCATTTAAAGTAGATGAAGAGGAAGAGGAAGAGGAGGAGGAGGATGAGCCTGAGGTTCCCGCTGGCCCCCGTCCTCGCAGAATCTCGGAGTTGAACATGAAAGAGAAAATCGTGCCCATTCCTGAAGGAAGTGCTTTCTTCATTCTTAGCAAGACCAACCCGTAAATACCCCCATTCTATTCCCTTCACTGCTGTGTCTCACCTCTGACCATACACTGCGTGATGACGGCGAGGGATGGGGCAGCCCCCTTCTGCACCTAACATCAGAGGACACCCCACCCCTTCCGGCCCTAACACCTCCTCTGCCACAGCCTTGCCCTTGTCCTCTGCTCATCTCTTCCTAGCCTTTCTGTCCTGGATGTAGGGGCTGCGGGGGTGTGGCTAGGTTCTGGGAAGAGCCCATTCCAGATTCCCCTCCCCTTAGCCTCTGCCCTGGGGTCAGCAGTGGCGAAGTAGCTGCTGCTCCATGAGAGCCCATGGCTCTGGGGTTCCATGTGCGGTCACCAGTGAAGTGTTTCCCATCCAGAGGACCTTTTCTTCACAAGTGGGTCTTCTGCTAAGATGATTTGAGGGGACTGACTTCTGCCCGGCATCTTCATCCTGAGATGTATTATAGTTGATCGCTTTTCCCTGTTGAGTCTTATGGCAATAAATAATATGCTCAATGATATTTTATAGGTTGAGCTAGTCAATTCAGCTTGATGATATCCTGCTTAAAATAGCATTTCTCATGTTAAAATGATAAGGTGCTCACCAGGAGCATGGCAATTACTCTCAAGTACTGCAAAGGGAACACACTTATTTACTAGCTGGTTTCTAGGTTTTAAATCATCTGGGGTAGAGTGAAATGCCAGAGGGAATAAATAACTCCTGGAGGAGAGGTTTCTAGAATTGCAGAAGTAGTTCTTGGCTGTCAGAAAGGAACTCTATGATTCAAGGCCCCAGGGAGGCACAGGTGGGAAGCAAGGCAACCTGTGGTCCTTAGAGACTTGAGGATTTAGTGGTAGTTTGTGCAGGTCATCACTGTTGAGAATTCGGGAGTCCCTTAAAAAAATACAGCTGATGTTACTGACACCTACAGCTCACTGTGTCTACTGTATCGAATGAATGGATCAATGTCCCCCTGGAGTGTGAGCACTCCTGCCCTCAGCTCTGGGAGGCCTTCCCCAGACTCAGTTGCTCTCAGCTTGCAAGCCTTCTCGGGGGCACACCCCAGCCTTAAGCAGCCCCAAAAGGGAGGATTTGAAGCAAGGAGTCACTTTCCTTTAAAGCTGACTCCAGTTTTGAAACTGAAAAAGATCTTTTTAAAGGAAAACCTATATGTATTCTATAGGCCCCCCCCAAAAAAAATCTTTGAAAGCTAAAGTCAAATATTGAGGTTAAGGGTAGTCAGGCACTAAGTAGCCCCCAGGACATCAGGGGTGGCAGGAGAGGGGTCTGATGGCCCACAGAGCCATCCTGAGGGCCAGCCTGGGGGTGCTCACAGTACCACAGGACTCTACACATGGTATGGTGAGTCCTTGTGAGATCTTGTGTGATGGGGTACCTCTTCACTTTCTCAGGAGTGTTCATTATGGGTCAACTCCAAAAAATTAATAGTGATACGGTGCTGTGACTCAATCTCCACATAACAGAACATTAGCCAAGCCTCCCTTCCTGCAGTTGTATTTCGTAAGCCCAGCTGCAGTACAGGAAAGGGATAGCTCCCATGCTTTGTGAGCAGCTGCAATGAGGAGCTCTGACCTCAGTCTCCTTCCCAGGTTGGGAAAGAAATGTCACAGTCAGCTCTGGGTTGGAAATCTGCCCCTGGTCCTTATTAAGGAAGTTCTCTCACATGCTTAAGCCTCCGTTTCCTCTCCTTTAAATGGGTGATAATCCCCGCACTTATAGACACAATGAATGGTGTCTGCGGCACTCCCACACTGAGCTGTGGCACCGAGGGCCCTCAGGATCTGCCGTCCAGTAGTTTCGAGGGGCTGATGGACAGGTCTTACTGGTTTTCTGGGTGGGGCCTGGGCAGCACAGTGATAGCTGTCCTCGGCTGGACCTGTCCCAGCATGCTGTGGGTGCTGCCTGGGGCTGTGTCCATGCGCTGGTGTCCCCCACAGGATCCGTGTGGGCTGCCACAAGCTCATCAACCACCACATCTTCACCAACCTCATCCTCGTCTTCATCATGCTGAGCAGCGCGTCCCTCGCCGCTGAGGACCCCATCCGCAGCCACTCCTTCCGGAACATTGTAAGCCACCGAGTGAGGACAGCAGGGTGGGGCTCCCTTGGGGTAAGAACTGGCCTCTTGTCATCCAGGCAGGGCCTCCAGCAGCCCAAGAGGCTAACAGCTAGAGCAGGCATCTCATTCACCAGTAGGCGTTTTATGTTCTAAGTACCAGTGGGGTTTTGTTTCATTGGGACAAACCTTCCATGAATCATGTATTTTAAACTTCATTTTAAATACTCGGCAGTAACTTTTGTGTATTCAGGGACCTTACGTCTCTTCCTCCTCCTCCCTTGCTGCTAACATTTTGGTCCCTCTTTTCTCCCCTGGTCAAATTCTGATCCATACTTATGTTGAGATTTCTGCCTAGTGGAAGCACCCAGCAGGACAGAAAGTAAAACTGAAACCAGGTATGATTTATGCCCAGGAGCTCTTACTTAGGCTGGATAGGAAGACTTCTATATGGATGGAAATTTGCAAAGCTACCTGATTCTACTGCTAGGAAAATACAAGTTAGGGAGTTGATGGGCTGTAGAGTTGAGTGGTTCCTCGGAGAGGAAGAACTATGGTGGGGCAGGAAGTGATTTAATGAAGAAAATGAGTAGAGGGTTAAGTTTTCCATTAATCAGTTTCACAATGTAGGGTAGCACCCTTGCATGGCATCCATGCTGGACAGAATGCTACTCAGACTGGTTCTTGCCTGAGAAGTTACATCTCAGCAGGTCAGCTGATCCAGCACTGAGAACAGTCCCAAAGTGAGACAGCTTTGGAAGACCAGTAGCCAGTTCCCTCTCGGCCCTGACACTGTAGCGTAGTACTGAGAAACCTTCCCAGGAAAGGGCAGCCCACCAGTGTGTGAGGCTATCAGGTGTTGCTGCTTTGCCTGGGTTGTGCCTCTGTCGCCTCTTGAGATTTTAGAGATTTAAGACAAGTCACCAAATCAGTGCCCCAGGATTTCGGTTGTGACAACCCAACCCTTGTGCTGTGTCTTTCCATTTCCAGGCTCTTGGCTTGAAGCTTGGCAAACCCAACCTATCAGACTGATAGAACACACACTCAGACACGAAGATAAAGAACATTCCTCCAAGGCACATGTTGGGGAGATGTAAAGATGAAGGCCATGAGCCTGTCTTAATCTCTGCATTCAAATGGAACAAAGACCTGGGTGTCACTGAGTCCCATCATAAAAATGAGACACAAGGCAAAAATATAATCACATAACAGATGAGGTCAAGAGCTAGTCTAGAACACAGATTGCCAAAGAGTTAACTTATATTGGACCCTTAAGTTCTTATTTTTTATTGTAATTACTTCCCCATTAATTTATTCTCCTGCTGCTCTTCCCAAGAATGTTATTACTGTTTTTAAATAGGTGTACATATGTGTATGTGTATTGCTTTTAAAATTCTACAATTTTTTTTTTATTGTGGTAGGAACACTTAATGTGAAATCTATTCTTTCAACAAATATTTAAGTGTGCAACCCACTATTCATAGTGATGGGCACTATGTTGTACAGTAGATCCCCAGAACCCGGTCATCTTGTATGACTGAAATTTTGCAGCCATTAACAACTCCTCATTTCCCCCTCCCCCAGCCCTGGCCACCTCCATTCCACTTTCTAGCTATGGGTTTTTGACTGTTTTAGGGATCTCATGTAATTGCAACCTTGCAATATTTTTTTAACCTTATCTGAGTTATTAGTGAGAAAGAGAATGGAGGCTGAGTAACTCTAAGAGCATTGACCCTAGCACCAGGCTGAGCTGTTGGCTTTTGGGCAGCAGTGTCTTTCTTGGCCACCCAGGTACTTTCAACAGGAACAGTCCTGCTGTGACCATGGAGGAAATGAGGAGGGGCCAGAGGCCTGTAGTGTACTGGCAGTGCTTTGCATTGCGTGGCCAGAAACACAGATACACAGACAAGTTCCAGCAAAATCTACCAATTGAAAAATGAAAGCAGTCTGGATAATGAATACTCTCTGAAAATAGAACTTAAACTTAAGCTGAGGAGAGCTAGCCTTTGAAGCAGAGAGCTTCATCTTATTGTAACAGAGCATAAAAAAGACTCCTCTGGTGTGGACACCATACTTAAACATCAGGGCCTGTGGCTCTTGACCAGCAGTGCACAGGCCTAGCTCCTTGCTCAGCAGTGCCACGACTGGCCCTGTGGCCTGAGTAGGCATCCCATAGCCCCTTCCCAGGACCCTCATCTGTTAAATGAAAGGAGTGGACTGGATGATTACCCGAGTCCCTTGCAGCTCTGATCTCTTCAGTTCTTTCAAACCTCAGAGCACAATTGTCATGACAATAAGTAGCCAAGATGCCTTCTTCTGTAGGCAGTCCCAGCTGCTTTCTTTGTGGCTGAGGTTCCCTGTGAGCAGCCATAGTTGCATGGTGGTCAGACTTCTTGCTGGAGCCTACCTGCCCCCGCTCCTGCCCCCATGGCTCTGAGTTAAGGCAGAGACCCCAGAAGGTGCAAGCAGGTCTTGCTTGGTTGGGGAGTACATGGTATTTTCAGGAATACTGACAAAGTAGTTTGGACTGATAATTAAAAAACCAGGTCATCTGTCCTTTGAGTGGGCCCAGTGAGGTTAAAAAAAAAACAGTATTGGGAGAGAGCAGCATTAGATGCAGAGCAAGGTGATAAGTGAAACTCTTCTTGAGGACTTAACTAGCCCCACACATTGGTGTGGGAAGGGTATTTACTCCCTGATTAAATGGGCTGGAATTGAAGGGAACATATGGAAGCTTCTGGCCCACTTAATGGCCCTTATAGCATTATTTACATTTCTCCACAAATCTAAAGCTCAGCTGGATGGCAGCATTTTTCATTCAGCCAAAAATGCAGTTAAAAATGCAAAATGTGTGTAAGACTCTAATTTATCTGGTGCCACAAGTAATTTGTCAGTGTGGTGCTGTGATGAGAAAAGGTTATTAATAAAGCACTTTTAGAAATGAGTCTCTGTCTCAGACATGAGACTGAAGAGCAAGTTAGCATGAGCTGTTAAGGCAGGTAAGTATTTCCAAGTGTTCTACATTGGTCCTGAAGATGAGCTGTCATTGGCCCAGGTGGGGCATTAATGAGCATCTCCACACTTACCTGCGGAGTGGCAGGCCTACCCAGGGAGGGTCCCTGTGTGCATGTGGGAGTCTACCCATGGGTGTATGGCTGTTGTCCATATGCCTTTTTCTCATTTTATTGTTGTACCTTTCAGATACTGGGTTACTTTGACTATGTTTTCACAGCCATCTTTACTATTGAGATCGTGTTAAAGGTAATGGTCTTTTTGTTGATCTTCACATACTCTAATACAGCTGTAGCAATAATAGTTTCAATTCTTCGTTTACTTTCCAGATACTAGGTTATGCAGATTATGTCTTCACTGGTATTTTTGCGTGTGAGATTGTTTTGAAGGTAGCAGGTTCCGCAGCCGTGTGTTTGAGGGGCCTTCTCCTGCATGTGACACAGCAAAGCAGTGTGAAGTGCTTTTGACTGTTTTTATTCTTTGTTGTCTGTGGCCAAGCTTATACTTTTTTTAAACCAAAGAATTTTTTTTTCCTGAAACTTTTCAATTCATTTTTGCTCTTTCTTTTTAAACTTTAATGCATGTAGGAGTTTCTTTGGCTTCATAATAGTGATTAGAAATTATGTTTTGCCCTTTTTTTAATGTCTTCTGAAATATATCAGCTGATAACAGATACATTACAACCTGTGAACTTTCTTCCACTCTTCCTGGCATCAAAATCAGAGGAGAAGCATTTATCCTACGAAGGGAATGGATCTCTTCTTATTTTTTTGATTGAATTATGTTTCAGTGGCGCAAAATAATAGCATTGTTTTCTTCCAACAGCATTTGCAAGATAACTCGGATCTTTTTGTGTTAAGACATTTTATATCTGTTTTAATGAGTGGTCTCACAATCATACAAACAAAAAGCACCTTTTGGACAGGGTGCCCTAATGTACTACCCATGCATGAACTAACAGGTACCATTGCTGCATGCGGTTTGTGGACTGATGGGGAAGGCCACCCTGGGTAAGCTCATGCCTTCTGGACCCAGCTGCCTAGAGAGCCAAGCAGAGAGCCATGCAGAGAGCCAAGCACCACCACATCTGCTAAGTGTTGTGGGTTATGGCAGTACTGGGCAGCTGTCAGAGCTATCCTCTCCTGGTGGGGACAGTCTGGGAAAGGATGACTGTTAACTATGATTTTCTTTCAACCATTTTGAGTTTTTTGTATGTGTATCTCAGAGGGAAAATGTATTTTATGTATATGTTAGACAACTGTGGGACTTGGGCTCTTTACAAAATCTTCTATATAAAATGAAACTTCAATTAACATCACTCATGAATTGGGTCTTTTTTTCCTTTCTATTATTATTACTTGGTAATGAAAACATTCACACAATACCAACTAAACAACCAAATGCTGTCCAAACATTTGTTTAAAATCTAAAAATTTGATTTTCATTTTCCTGCCTTTAGGCCAGTGTATTTGTGACAGTTCTGAGTCAGACCCGTGCAGGTCACTGAGCAGATGCTAACAGTGGTTTCCATGGTGAGAAGCACAGGTGCGGAAGGCACAGGGCGCACGGGGCACAGGGACGCTCACCGGCCTCCGCCGGAGCCCTGGCTGCTTTTCTTTAATTTTAAATATTTTTCCTTCTCTTCCTCAAATTGAATGGGGAAATGTTCTAGTTAGTCTGTTCTATTTTGTCTGTTAACCTGGTTAATTGAGGTTATATTTTACTTTCCACATGTCTTAGTCATTAAATGAACATAGTTACTTTTGGGCTTTGGGGCAAATGAGGTACAGGATTACTTAAAAGAAAACCTATTGTTTTTCAAATTCTGTATATTTGCCTCAGTGACTTAAATCTTCAAAGTCATTCTTTATTTTGAAAGTATTTTGGGGAGTGGAAAATAAGCTAAAACAAGAAGGATTCAGAAAATGGAGATTTGCCAAGAAGCATCTGACATCTGAAATGGAGGTTCCTGGTGGCCTTGAGATTTGGAAGGCTTTTTGGTTATTGGCCTAACACATGAAAGTATCATTTTTGTAGGTCAGAAATAGCTGAGTATTTGCAATTTCATGTGGTCCAAGTTTATTAGTTCTCAGCTCTGCCTCTCCTCTCCTATACTTATGAGTCTTCCCTGCTTTTTAATATTTTTTTAATGTAAACAGTGAATTCTTTGTATTTTGCTGTTTTCACTTGGGGGATATTTCCTCACTAAAATCATTTGCCATGACCAGTGGGCTGCAGGTACACATGGCATGTGACTAGAGCACAAGGAGACTGACTTAGGTGAGATGTGGCAGCTCCCTCGCCACACCTTGCTACAACTACAGTGATGGAGTTGGAAGAGCTGTTTGAAGTTCATGTGTCACTAAAGACCATAGGGATTAGTAAGGGGCCTCCCTGGAAAAATGCCAGTTTCTATGCAGACACAGCCAGCAAGCCCTGGACTCCAGCGCTTTTCCTAGCCCCCTGGGTTGGAACAGTGTAGGCTGCCAGAACCAGCATTTTGTGGGGAAGCCAATTTGTCTGGGCAGCACTTACTGCCTAACAAGTAGGGTCATGTGGACTCTCTCCTGGGATGGGCTCTTTGGACATGCCAATGACTATTCATATTTTAAATTGGTTGTTGCTGTAATACAGTCTAAATTGTTCTCTTCTTTTAAAATGCTCCCCAAATGAGCTGCCCTTTTTCTATTTTTGAACAAATGATTTAGATGTGCAGCCCTTTGGTTTACATTTCTGGCTTCATAATGCACACTTGTTAATAAAGACAGACTTTCCTCAAGGTTTTGTAAAGAGCCCAGGTTTCTTTTCCTCTGGGGAGAAAAAGCAGTAAATTCAGCCATGATTCTGCTTGTAGATGACGACTTTTGGAGCTTTCCTCCACAAAGGAGCCTTCTGCAGGAACTACTTCAATCTGCTGGACATGCTGGTGGTTGGGGTCTCTCTGGTGTCATTTGGGATCCAGTGAGTATTCTAGGGTGTGGATGCACATACACACAGCACTGTTGGGCAGGGTGGTTCACATGAGGAACTGTAGCATGATTCATAAAGCCAGGCATCATTTTGATAATCGTATTTAGTTACCTGGGAAAACTTAATTGGTACCCATGCCAGAAAGCAGTGGGATAATTCATGCTTCATGCACATTGCTAGCTTGGGATTATATTACTCTGTGATATTTGCTTTCAACAGAGAGTGAAAAAAGCCAAGTTCTAATGTAGCTTCCTCCAGGAGCTGGCCCCAGGGCCTTGAGGGCATCCTCTTCTGGGGCCTCAGTTCCTCATCTGTGTGAAAGGGGCAAAGACCACGTGGCCTCTTGGAGCCCTTTCTGCTTGGATAGTGAAGGTTCCCTTGATGTCCAGGATATATGACCCTTTTTATTTTTTTCGTGGCCTCTAAAATTTTCAGCTAGGAAGGGGCTGAGACTACCAGTCAAGGCTGTAGGTCCTTTTTATGGCATTTTGAGATTTCTGGTGGGAAATAGCCCGAGCTGTACCCTACCTGCCTGTGGTAACCAGGGGTCTGGAGCAGAGGCTCCAGTGGGATCACCCAGGGGTGGCCTTGCTTTCCTGCTGCCTTCTAAGTGCTACTTCTTTGTGCTGACCATCAGTATCCCCTAAATGAGAACACACACACACACACACACACACACACACACACACAGCCCTACCTCTGAGCTAAAGGTAAATGGAGAGGCTCTGTTCCTCTCAGAAGATTGAGGATGCCTGCCTGAAGCAGCCCTCTATGGTGGTAGTCCTCCCACCTTCCACTGATGCTCACGGGGAGGGAGCCATGTAGCCACAGCTTGGCAGGACATTCTGATCATTATCTTTGCAACTTTCATAAACTCCTGGCAGCACCTGCCCTCTCCTGCTGCAGGCCTTGCCCACAGCCTCCCGAATGTGCTTGGGCCACATGCAGCCACCTGCCCTGCTAAATGAGCCACACTCTCTCATGCAGGAACTGCCTCCCTGGTGCTCCCTGGGCCTGCCTACAGCCCCTTCCCCCTTTGTCTAGGTAACCCTCACTCTGCCTGAACTCACCTGGATATCACCTCCCTAGGGGCCTTCCCAGACCCCAAGGTGACACTCCCCTGGCTGCCCATCTCTCCCACTAAAGAGTGGACTTCTTGAAGGCCAGTGAAGCCCAGCCCCAAAGCCCTACAGAAGAGCCCCAAAGTTAGAAAACAAAACCAAACAAACTAAACTGAAGCCTAAATGCCAAATACTACCTAGCATTTACATTGAGTGAAAAGAACAAAGCAAATATCCTCAGTCGTGTCTTGGCCGAGGTCGGCTGTGCACCTGCCTCAGGGCCTGTGTGAGTGGGCCTGCCTAGGAGGCACCGTGGGTCGTGGTCATTATCATCCCTGAGCCATGGGGAGAGGTTGGTGCAGCTCCACGTGGGTTCCACCATGTTTTGTCATGGTATTAAAGTGCAGGCCAAGTGTAACGACCTCAGTGTTTTATCCAGCTTTAATAAAGTGCTTTCTTTCCTCCCTCTGTTCTTTTCCTTAGATCCAGTGCCATCTCCGTTGTGAAGATACTCAGGGTCTTAAGGGTTCTGAGGCCACTCAGGGCAATCAACAGAGCAAAAGGACTTAAGGTTTGCTTCTCTCCTCCAGGCTGGGCTTGCTTTGGTGGGGTCAGCTGTAATTACTGACTTTACTGGGCCAGAGCAGGGCTGAGGCCTGATGGATTTTAAAGTGGGTTCTACATTTGTAAAGGACATTTCTGCCCCGTTGAGCTGCCTCTGCCAAGTGCTTGATACCATTTTTAACTATTATTATTTTCTTTACTTTTATTCATTTAAAATACTTTCTCTATGTGATTGCTGTTCATTTATTACTTTTTAAATTATTAGTAGTGTTTACTTTAGTCTTTAAATCTGTTCTCATGCAGGTTGTACAAAAGCCCAGAGGGTTTGCATTTTCCTAAGTCCTTTTATAGGGTGGGGAGTCCTGTGGGCCTGTGTGCCAGGCAGTGCTGCACCGGTGGCAGGAAACCAAGGTGGGACCCACTTACAGGGTGCTCTTCTCAGGCAGCCATGATGCACTGGGTGTAACTCCCCGCAGATAACTACCTGAAAAACAAAGCACCACAGAGTCAGAAAACCACATACAAATGAGCATACGCACAGGCAGCCTTGGCTAGCACTAGCTTTCCCCGTGGCTGAAACAAGAAAGGCAAGTCATGCCCCTGCATCCTCACCCTGCTCTCTCTCTCTCTCTCTCTCCAGCATGTCGTCCAGTGCGTCTTTGTGGCTATCCGGACAATCGGCAACATCATGATCGTCACCACCCTTCTCCAGTTCATGTTTGCCTGCATTGGGGTCCAGTTGTTCAAGGTACAGGGACATGCCTTGGAGCACGAGGTCCGGATGATCTCCTCGGAGGCAACCTTGCCTTTGACTGTCTGTCTGTTTTGTACTCAGGGAAAGTTCTATCGCTGCACAGATGAAGCCAAAAGTAACCCTGAGGAATGCAGGTGAGGGTCCTGAACATGGGAATGGGAATTTGGAAGAACAGAAGGAAGACTTCAGGACTCATTTGTGCTAGCATTTCAGAAGTCACGGACTGCTAGGGGCCTGTGTGCTCAGCTCATGGCTGGAGAGATGGAGGGGTGTTTTTTGTTTGTTTGAGGGAAAATTCACATCACCTGAAGTTAAACAATTTAAATTGTACAATTCAGTGGCATTTGGCACAACTACACTGTGGTGTAAGGACCACTTCTGTCTATTTCCAAAGTTTTTCATTGCCCCAAAACAATTGATAGATGGCTCTGATATTTGGTATAGAATCTGTGAACTGAGTTGGGGGCACTAAAACCTAAAATAACAATTATGAATTGCCCCAGAGAGCTCACCCTACAGTCACCTGGATAATTTTTCCCCAAACCAGAACTCAGAGCTCAACCCCTAGTATCCAGGTGCTGGCTACCATCTTCTGATAGGTTTCCTGTCACCACATTTTGGCCATATTTCCATGCACAAGAATGGACAGAGGAGAAACAAGGCGGAAAATACTCATGCCTCTTACCCCCAGCTGTGCAGAAGAATGTGAAGGCAGACACAGGAGATGCTGCCTGAAGTTCTAAAACTGCAGAACTACCTGTTTTCCCATCCTTTTGAGATGTCACCAAGTGAGGTCTGGCTGCCTGCTTGGTTGGGTTTCTTTTCAACAGAGGGTGCAGCCAGAGAGCACCAAATGGGATGAGACTGGACCCTGCACCTCCAGGGCTCCCAGTCATGTGGGTGGGGCAGCGGAGGGCCTCTTTGAAGTGGAATGGCACAGGAGTGTGAAGACACCTTCTCTTCCCTCTTTAGGCCTCTACTTTTTCATCTGTAAAGACATTAGGCACCTCCCAGAAATGAAATTCTAGGAGAATTATTGTGTGGTGCCAGAAATTATAGAAGTCTCTGAGGGGAAAAAAACTGGGAATATTGTTAGTATAAGGGGAAGGAATTTGATTACGACTAAAATAGCAGATAAGAGGATACCTGGGCTTGTTTCCCAGAGCTTATGGAATTCTCCACAGCCAAAGCTGTTGATTCTTCAGTGTACACTTTGAGCCCATTGCCTGTGAGAGATGTTTATTGTTCAGTAGTTTTCATTTGTTATCTGGCATATGCTGGTGTCTGCCTAGCTGCTCTAGAGAATACTCATTAAACTAGTGGTTGTGCAATGTTACTAGAACCAGAGATTAGGTGAAACAGAGGGCAACAAAAGGAGGGATGCAGATGCAGATGGTGCAGATGCAGATGGATGCAGATGCAGATCAGTGGCCCAGCTGACGGGCTGAGTGTGACTGCCTGTAGGTATGGGTTTGGGGCAGCCATGACCGATTTCATGTCAGACCAAGGCAACCCACATTTCTTTTCCTCTCTAGGGGGCTTTTCATTCTCTACAAGGATGAGGATGTTGATAACCCTGTGGTCCGTGAGAGGATCTGGCAAAATAGTGATTTCAATTTTGACAATGTCCTTTCTGCTATGATGGCACTTTTCACAGTCTCCACGTTTGAGGGTTGGCCTGAGTAAGTACAGAGAATGGACATCTTTGGGGAGGCTCCTCCTTGCTTCTCAGGTCCTCTAGGCTGATCCATCTCTCCTAGAGTGAGTCCTACTTCTTTTCTCCACAGGCACAGCCTGTTCCCATGACTTTTAAACTTTGGGCCACTTATCAATCACTTCTTGGCCCACAGGGCTCCTCTGTCTGATTAGGTAAAGGATTAACCTTTGTGGCCAGCTGACAGGACTCTCAGATTTGGGAAGCAGGGGCCATAGATCCCAGGCTGGGGGCTCATCTCTGCTAGCTCCTGGGGAGCATCTTTGGATGGAAATGGGGGGTCCTCGGAGGCATTTGTTATACCAACTCCTGTTGGTAGCAAAGCTGAAATTACACTAAAGAGGGTCTTGGTAGTGTACCAACCCATCCATTCATTCATTTATTCATTCATTCATTCCTAGTACTAATATGTGCCAGGCATGGATAGCAGCCATTGTGCCGTGTCTTTCCTGAGGAACTCACTCATTTGTAAAGTGTGCTTTTGAAACCAGTTCCATGTTACCTGCCCTGTTAGGCACTGTGCAGGTTGTCTCCACTTAAGTTCCTGCCTTCAAAGCCCCAATTCAATTAGAGCTTTGGTCAGGCAATCAAACCAGGTAGGAAGGTCTGGTGTGTCAGAGATGTGCAGAATAGGGTCCTGAAGAATGGCTAGGATTTTGATGGGTGGAGTAAGAAAAACAGAAGGATAGAGGTGGAATACAAAAGGAGAGTCTCTTGTGTCTTCAGTACTCTCTGGCACCCTACCCCACCTCTGCTTCCTGCCAGTAAAACATAGATATGTAGATTGAATCCTGAATGCCAAGTTCCTATGTCTAGAGGAGTTAGTTGCACATGGTGGACAGGCTGACCTTCTCAGGCTGGCAGAACCCTCTGGATGCATGAGAGAGTCAGAGATCTTTATAGGAGTGCCTGTAGGGAGAAGGGTGGCTGGGTGGGGCTTGTTCATTAGGGAACTAGTCCTGAGGAGAGAAGAGGCATGGAGTAAGATTTTTTTACTCTACACAGGTTTTGGGTCTTAGGTTTTGAACACTACTGTGCTTTAGCAAATCAGGGTGGCAGATGAAGGGAAATTAACAAGTTTGGATCTTGGGGCTTAGAGAAGCTGGGCTCAGCCCCCTGAGAAGTTGATGTTGGGCACTTACATCCCTCTCTGAGCTTCCATAATATGGGGTGACAGTAATGTTCACCTTTCCAGATGGATGTGAAGGGGTTGTAGCCCAGTGCACCCAAGGGCTGGGTGCTCTGGAAGTGTTGAATCCGCATCAGAATGGGGCTGAATTTGACTTGGGTGTGTGATAGTAATTTCCTCTCTTTCCTCTGTTGAGTTCTGCTAGGCCTATATTTAATTTAGTGTGCAGTTTAGTTTGGGGAACCTCCCCGAGTTCTTTGGAAATTCACGGTATGGTTGCTTGCTCTTGTCTTTGCCAGTCTGTATAGTTTTCGGTTCAGAAAGTGTCTACATGAAATGTTCTTCCTGTCTTCTATTTGTGAATAGAAAGGAGTATTGCTGAATATTTGTGAAATCTTTCATTTTTTAGTCCTCAAAACATCAATCGCAAACATATCCCAGGTGTCCCCTACCCAAGTGCTGGGCTGACTGGACCTCACCCTAGAGAGGGTGCCTCAGATACCTGCCTGTGTCTAGGGGCCTAGGAAAGGGGGCTCCGGTGACAGATCTGACAGTCAGTGCCCATGGTAGCATTCAGAAGAGGGACACACCTGGGCCTGGACTACCTGGGCTGAGTGGGGCTGGCGGTGCTCACTTGGTCCTTCTGTTCTCCAGGTTGCTGTACAAAGCCATTGACTCGAACGGAGAGAATGTCGGCCCAATCTACAACTACCGCGTAGAGATCTCCATCTTCTTCATCATCTACATCATCATCGTTGCTTTCTTCATGATGAACATCTTCGTGGGTTTCGTCATTGTCACATTCCAGGAGCAGGGAGAAAAAGAGTATAAGAACTGTGAGCTGGACAAGAATCAGGTTAAAATCACACACTGTTTGGGCTGCCATCCCCCAAGCAGGGGAGGGATTGCTTCTCCTTTAATGGTTTCCCCATGCCCAGAGAAAAGCACCACTGGTGTCTGTCCCTGGGGCTTGGGCCCCGTTCAGAGCATACCCGCAGCCAGTCTGAGTCATTGCTGTTGAAAGTTAGGTTCCCAGATACAGATTTGACTTTGTAATTGTGGAATCTACCCCAAATGTGTGAGTGAGACTTCAGAGAGGTGCTTGGGCCACCTTCTGTGGTCATGACCCGCCAGTGACAGCTCAGAATCTTGTAGGGTGGTGTGGCCAGGGGCTAGGAAGCACCCAGAGATACTCCCAGAGTTCCTAATGACAGTCTTTTATCTTCTCAACCTCAGCACTATTGACATTTCAGGCCAGATAGTTCTTGTTGTGCTTTGTAGGATGTTTAACAGTAACCCTGGCCTCTACTCACTAGATTCCAGTAGCATTCACTTACACCCAGCATGAACCCCTGTTTTTGGTGACAACCAAAAACATCTCCAGATGGTGCCAAATGTCTCTGTTTGAGAACCCTTGACTTAGGAGGAAGTACGCTCTCATGCCACAGGAAAAGTCACTAACTTTAGACTTGGGACCAAGATTGCAGTGGCAGTAATCTCTCTCTACCTAGCACCTTGTTTTAACCAAGCTGATAGAATCAGGGGCTTTGGCTCTGGTTTTGTGATGGTGTGAGAGAGCCAAGTAACCTATGTTCTGGTCCTGTTCTACCTGCACTTGCTCTGTGGCTGTGGGTGCATCCCCAATTCTCTCTGGGTTTGCTTCATTATCTCTAAATTGAGGGCATTCCGGAGTTGCTTTTAGAGGTCCCTTCCAGCATTAAAAGATTGTGAGATCAAGATTCTACTCTGGGAGTTTCCCCCAGGCCCTCTATCAGCAGGATCTCGGTTTGACAATGACGGAGGAGCAAGAATAATCTGCCAGCCTAGGCTTCCTGCGGGAAGTGGCTGTGGTGAGGCAGTCTGTCTTGGGTGGCAGCCATGCCTGTTGGGGGAAACATGAGGACAGTGCTGGCTTGTTTTGTAGGAAGATGTTGCTTCGAGTTGTCAGGATGTCTCTGCAGATTCCATCAGTAACAGAGGGAGGCCTGTCCCAGATCTTCATCCCCACCAAGGAAGAAGAGTGTCAGGGCAAGGCCCAGGCCAGCCAGACAGCACCAGAGCTGAAATCATCACCACCCGAGGCCCACAGAAGTCTCAAGGGGGGGTCTCTGGAGTCAATGTGTGAGGTCATAGCAGGGCCAGGTCCTGGACAGAGGGAGCCTGTCTGAAGTCAGAACCCAGAGTCCAAGCAGAAGAATGGGAGTAGGTCTGGGCTGAGGTGCAAGCAGGGCCTGCTGCCAAGCTCTCAGGGCCAGAGGCTCCCTCTGGGCTTGTTGCAGAGTGGACCAGTCTCAGCCCCAGAGCAAGTGGGGATGATAGTGCTCTGGCCATCATTAGTGACCCATAAGTCTGAGGACACAGCAAGTTCCTGAGCCTCAAAAGCTCCCAGATGGACCCATAGCTCACTCACCATTAGGTACTTAGAAATAACACACTCTGGGCCCTGAGAGGTGACGTGGGTGTGTCTCTCCTGGAGCAGTCTTGGGGCTCCAGTCTTGGGCAGTGAACCCATCCCCTCTGGTTCTTGAGAATTTCTATGCCTCTCAACATGGTTTCCTTCCCTGGAGGACAGCAGGGGCAGGAGAACTACAGATGTGATCCACTGGCATAGAGGAATGGCAGGAATAAGAATTGGGGCAAGGCTGCACGGTTCTGCCCATGTACCCTGCAACCTCAGGTGGGCAGTTCACAGCTCTGGACTCTGTTTTGTAATAAGTAAAGTGGAAACAGAATGAGAGATCTGGTCACTTCCAAGTTGCTGTGAGGATCAGAAAAGGTGATGGAGCTGGGGGCCCTTTGTCCCTGATGCAAAGTGGTGCCTGTGGGGGTTGCCTGGTAGTTTTCCTCTTGGTCCTGGGTCCTTCCCAGCAGGGGCTGCACCTGCCCTTTCAGAGCAGGTAAGAGCTATGCCCTCCTCCATGTAGACATGCTCAGGTCCCCTCTTTGCTCTTTTCTGCCATTGCAGCGTCAGTGTGTTGAATATGCCTTGAAAGCACGTCCCCTGCGGAGATACATCCCCAAAAACCCCTACCAGTACAAGTTCTGGTACGTGGTGAACTCCTCGCCTTTCGAATACGTGATGTTTGTCCTCATCATGCTCAACACACTCTGCTTGGCCATGCAGGTAAAAATGAAGACACGTGGAGATGGGGATCATGTCTGCCCCTTCTGCGCAGTCCCATGATCCAGATTTTGAGGGTGGGAGGCCAGTCCCTCACAAGAGGGTGAGTTTGATTTTCTGATGAGTCGGGACTGTAGTTTGGTCAGGGTCCCATTCTTAGCTGACAGTCATCTCTGTAGGAGTTTAAGATCGCTCTTTTGTCTTAGTAAGAGACTGTCCATACAGTGTGCCATAGCTAACATTACTGGGGGCCCCCTGGGGCCAGGGAGTGGTAGACTGAAGCTCTGTCTGAGAACAGTTAGACAGGCAGGGGTTCCAATCCTGACTTGACTCCTCACCAGTGGGCAACCTTGGAAAAATTATTTAAATCCCCTGAGCCTGCTTTCTTTATTGGGGAAATGGGAAGTCTATCATACCTACCTCAGATATAAAGTTTATGCTAGATAATTGGTGTCAGGCACTTTGCTCTGGGCCTGTTACAGAGTAAGCACCCATTGTTGAAAATGACATGTAAGTCATATCCCTGTCCTCATGGAGCTCTCCATCTGGCAGCAGGAATCTTCCTGTTCACGGAGTATTGGAGTTTGACCTGTGTTACAGCTATTCCCTCCTCACATTGGGAGCAAGGACTACAACTCACTTCAATTGGCCAAGCTGGATTACAGTGCATTAACATGTTAAGTGTATTAACACTGTTACTTTTAATATAATTCTGCATAATTATTATTATCACTATAATTAATAGAATTAACAGTTAGCCTTTCCAGCTGTTTTATTGTCTGGTTACACTAGGACAAGAAGCAAAGACCAAGGTCTAGATTCAGTTTTCACACAGACTTTAAGAACGTGAGCAAACCAACTCCCAGTGCTGTCTGCCACATGGTTCTAAAGACAGCCAACAATAAATTTCCTATTGCTTTCCTTAAATGTAAGAATTCTTTACACATGAGATGGACCATGCACTGATGTAGGGGAAAATAGGAAGTCAAGCTAGTACTGCATTATATTGAACATGAAACTAAATGGCATGAAGTTTATTCTTAACCAAATCCTACCTTTATTCATAGACGTTTCAGTGGGTTCTGCATTGTGCTTGGGTCATGGCCCCCAGTATAAATCCTGCCAGAAGGAGGCATGGGTTCCTCTTATCTGGGGCAGAGGACATTGATGTCTTTCCCCTCTATCATCCAGTCATCCTCATCTTCCTGAGTACCCCATGCACTTTGTGAAGAGGGCTTGTGACCTTGCAGTGCCAGTGGAGTCCCTGAGAGAGGGTGCTGGACTGTGCAGGTGGCCTCTGTGTCCATGTGGGGGATGGGCACCTGCAGAGTAGAGGACTGGGGGCCTCCTCCTGTGAGCTGGGACAAAGCCTCTGAGAACCGTACCTCTGCTTTCCTCCACAGCACTACGAGCAGTCCAAGATGTTTAATGACGCCATGGACATTCTCAACATGGTCTTCACTGGGGTGTTCACTGTTGAGATGGTTTTGAAAGTCATTGCATTTAAACCTAAGGTGAGTCGCTGAAACCACTTTTCAGAGGCTGTTGCTGAACCACCCCAGAGAAGCATCCGCTTCCTGTTAGTCTTGTGTTGCTGAATTATGCTGAATTGTTCTGGCCGCTAACTGGGTTATCACCTGAGAACTTTAAAATCTGATTAGGGCATCTGTGTACATATGGGAAAATAAATCTACAGAAACGAAACTCATGAAAACAATTCTAAGAAAAAGGAGAAGGGAGGAGAGAATTGGGAATTGGTAGAATGGAGACTGTTTTAAGCCTGGTGTTCTGTTTCTAGAATAGCACATATCAGTAAACCCGGTTTTCTTTCCTGGAATAGCGTGTATCCAGCTGTCTCAGGGAGACTTGCTTCATTACTGGAGCCCTGGAGAAACTGTTTTAACATAACCCATCGGAAAGAATTTGGCTATGATTTTATTTTTAGATTTTTAGGATAAAGCCTTTGGTTTTATTTGTCATTGATCTACAGCATCTTTTTCACCTTTAATGGAAAGTTCTACCAGCTGCAGACCCTTCATACCCATGCCACTTTTTGTTTATTTAACCTAGAAAATTTTCACTTTGGGACAAAACAAGACATGAAATGCATTAAACTGCATTGGATGACTCAGCACGTCTCCTTTGGGAGGTAGTGAATCCATTTCACAGCTGTCAGTGTCTGCAGTATGAGGCAGATAGGACAGTGTTGAGGAGCATGTGTGGTTCTGGATTCAAATCCCTACCCTCCACCAGCTCATCAAACAAGTTCCTTTACTGCTCTGTGCCTCGGTTTTCTCATCCATAAAATGAAGACACAATAGTCTTATTTCGTAGGGTGCTTGTGAGGAGTAAAGAATTATTAGATGTGCCATGCTTAGAGGAGTGCTTGGCAGGTAGTAGTGTCATGCTGACCACCACCCCCACCACCATCATCTTCAACTAACGATGTTCCCTTGTTCTAAAGACCTCGACGGAGGAGCAAATCCCAGCTGAGCTGTGGGACATTTAACCCTCAGTTTCTTTTCTAGCAAAGCCCCAAACTGTCAGAGTTAGAGAATGACAAATTCATTGACCCAGTTATTGGTTCATCTGTGTGTAAGGTATCTGTAATTTAAGACTTGGGTTATGAAATGACTTCACATACTCCATATTTACGTGGAATTCTAATTCAGAACTGTTCCTTTCTTTAATTTGAATTAATTTCTATGCAATCTTTATCAGCTCTTTGTGGACCCAAAAGAAAGGACACTTGTAAGTGACCAGGTGGGATGATTGCAGTGGGGTCACATTTGGCACTTTTATGCATGGCCAGGTGTTATTTACTGTGACTTGTCCATATCTATACATATAAACATCACCTCCTTTTCCAAATTCATCTTAATTTCCTTTGGAGATTGTGGTTCGCTTCCCTCTCACCTTTACTTCTTCAAATAATGTTTGTTTGAACTGGTGGAAAAGTTTGCAAAGTAAACATCAAAAGTACTCGAGAAATGCAACACGGAACCTATCTATGGAGCATTTCCTAGACCCTCTGGCCATGTCTTCCCTTGCCTGGTGATTAAGCTCTGAAGTTTTAAAAGCTTGTTTGTTCTAGCCTGAAGAGAAGGGCCACTTGCCCATGGCATGTGTGTAAGAGAATATGTGTGAGTGTGAGAGTGTGTGTGTGAGCACAAGCACTCACCCTGCCTCAGGCCATTGCATCCATGGCTCGTTGCACACTGCTCTGCCCAGTAAACTGCTGATCCCAAACCTGAGAGGGGAGTTCAGTGGCCTGTGAACAGACCAAAGGCATCAAGTGAAAATTTATTATCAGTACTGATCAACCAGAGTTTTATAATGAGTAATTTCTGCCAGAAATTGTGCTTCTTGTAGTTTTACTTAGCAAGATATTTACTTAGCATAAGAGAACCTCAGATTACAATTGAGAACTTTTATAACAGTAATAGCAGCATCTCAGTGCTTGGGGAGCTCTGTTGCTGTGTTCACCACAGCAAGGAAAGGATTTTATGCTGTTTTTGTGCCTGCAGAGCAGGAGAGAGTCACTTCAAGATAGATTTCAAAGCTCTGCTTAAAGTACTCCCTGATTTATCTCTGTCTTTTCTTTATTGTTAACAGCAGTCCGGGAAGCAGGCTTTCATGGACAGGTCAGGGAGAGCCCTCCCCGTCCCAGTCAGAGGGGCAGTTGGGCTGAGGGACATGTAGTAGAGGCTGCAGAGGGAAGAATTGTTGAGGAGGTGGCCATGTGGGACGAAGGTTTGGGAAACCTTGCCCATCAGTCCCATCTCAGGAAAGTCTTTGTTTCCTTTGAGGAGCTTTGTAGCAGGGTCCCTTGGGGCAGCAATTGCTACAGTGAAGGCTGCACCTTTAGGAGAACTCCTGTCTAGGAGAGCATACCTGTTCAGAAGGGCCTGGGTCACAGCTCTTTTATAACTATAATTTAGAAAGTGAGTTCCTGATAGGTGAGGTGAAGTGAATTCCTACCTTTCTGGTAGGTGAGGTATTGTAGGAGGAAGAGTTAAAGACCTGGCCCTGGGGACCTTTTTTATTTTCAGGAGACTGACCAAAAAATGAGGCCTCCTGAAATGGAGCACACTTAGAGGGATGCAGGCCCAAGACTCAAGAGGTGAGGTCACCCAGCCTTCATAAGCAGGAAGGGCTGAGGTGGGCTAGGAGCTTGCCAGTGGGTAAGGTAAGAATGCAAGGTGGTGAGAAACCAGAGACCCAGGGTTAGGGCAAGGCAAGCAGGCTATTTAGTATGTTGTATCAGCCCCAAGGGAAACCCACTTGTCAGGCATTGACCTCATGCACTCTAGGTTGTGCTTTCAACTTGGAGTTGGCTGTGTAGCCCTAGGGTTTTGAAAAGTAGGCCATCATTTAGGTAAGAGACAGCCCCACTCCCCTGGCCTTTCTCTCCAGTACTCCCTGGGGAAGCCACTGGAATCCTCTGATGAATTCTGTTGTTCCAAGGAGAGAGATGAGGAAGAAGGGTCTTTTCCAGAGTACTGGCTTCTGCACGTAGGAAGAACACTTCTAGTTTTTCCAAGGCTTCCTCTTTGTGCTTTTAGATGTCACCCACCTGGTGTTGGGTTCAACACATGTTTGAGCCAGGTTACCTGCCCTGGTTGTGGGCTTATCCCCAGAGAGCCACACTTTGTTCCCAAGTCGTAGGCCATAGAATATTTTGATCTTGCTTCTACTTCAAAAAATGGCTAATTTACACCCTCAGCCACTTGTACTTGATAAGAGTAAAGAGTAGTTAGGTTTGGGGAAAGAAGAAAGAGTTTTAGTGTAGTCCACATGTGTCTTTGCAGAGCTGGTGCACAGTGGTCACTGGGTCATCTGGGTCCACCAGCCTCCAGGGGCAGCAGTCCCTGACCCAGGGCCCCTGGCAGAGTGAGGCATAATAAGAAAACTTTAGCAGTCTTCCTAGAGGACATTCTCCAGCTCCTGGAAAGAATATCTGATACTGTCTTTTCAGTTCAGTGATCACATATAAGGTAAATGATTGATTTTAATGCCAAATAACAGTCCAATTATCCCTCTCCTTAACTAGAACTTTATGTCAGATTTCTTCATGGGCTAGGCCTGTTGCTTTAATGTTGGGTTTTCTCAGAACTCTCCTGGTCCCCTTCTCACCTGGTGAAATGGGTACCTGCCCAGGCCTTCAGTGGCCACCTCCATATCATTCCAAATCTCTACTGCCCTCCTCCCTTCTGAGTTGCCCTGACTGCTAAGTCATCTCCCTGCCTCTGGCCTCAGCCCCTCTCTATTCATCTTCCACATACTCCCTTTGTACACCCAAGCTGACTGTGCAGCTCTCCCAGTGCAATTCTGGTACTAGCCACCTTTTGCATGAGAAACATACTTTTCTTAGTCTAATTTCAAAGTCTTCCACTAAAACCTTGGCCCATTTATGTTTCTGCCTCATTTCCAGCCACTCTCTCCCTGTCATTCTTTTTCCCCACCCCACTCCCAACAGTTAACATGAGAGAACTTTCCCTGGCACATGCTTCTGGCTGTTATCCGTTTAAGGCCTGTCTGAAATAGTGGCTCTTCTGTGGCACCGTCCCACCAGCCCAGGCAGAATCAGCTCTTTGTGTTGTTAGATGCTTATGGTACATTAGCACCATCATTGCTACTTCACATCTCTCTCTCTCCACTAGCTGATGTTGTAAGTTGGATCTCCTTTGTCTTACACGATGTCTGCTACAAGCTGGTTACTCAGTAAAGATTGGGGAGTGAAGAAAGGAATAAATGGATGAACCCTTGGGTATACCCTGTTGGCATAAGAGGGTACCTGGTTTTCTGTCATGGGATTTTTGGGCGGAGTAGAGTGGCCAAAAGTTAATATGTTTTCTTGTAAACACTCATATGACCATCAGAAAGGCTTATGCTAGTTAGAAAGCTGCCAGCTACAGTTTCTATGAAAAGTTGGTGCTATGGGTCATACCTTGAGTCAAATCCTTCCCTGGCAGAAACTGATAAGTGTTCTGGTTGCCATGATCAACAGCAAAAGCAGGTCATTTGTAAAAGGCTTCTTCAGATCTGCAGATGAGACCTTGGGCTTGGGCTGCTTTTCTCTTTCTCATGTGTGGCCATTCCACAACATTCTCCCCCACATGTGCCAAGTCTTTGCTGCATCCTGGCTGGAGGTCCAGCCTCTGCTTCCAGGACCCCATGTTTGGGCAGGAGACAGACATTGACACACAATCAGAATAGAATTCTTGGAAATCATGGAGCTACCTTGCCCCAAGACACACTTTAGTTGGTTTATGATTTTAAATTTCTGGAGTCAGAATTGTTTCCAGGTAATAGATGTTATTGCAAGTGGATGATTTGCTTGGTCTTTTCAAGCACATGGGGCTGGACAAAAAATAATATAAGGGCCAATCCTGGCTGGGCTGGTAAGGACCACTGGTTCCACTTGAGGGGCCCAGGCCTCAGAAATCAGCTGCAGGAGAGTTTGTTGTCAATGTCCAAGAGAGATGGAGCTGGGACCTCTGTTGGAAGATAGTGTCTAATTTTCTCGTGACACCAGAATTTGGTGGGAAAGGGATGGGGGACTGAGTCATGTTCACTTGACAGTAATTTTATTAGAAAGGAGGCTACTAAGTAGGGAAACAGGACGTGGGAAGAAAGGGCAGGCTGGCATTTTCTGCCTCCCCTGGACCTAGCACAGTCACCTGGTCAGATCCTGTGATTCCAGCTACCTACCCCAACTCAAGCCTCCTGTCACCTGGGTTAGGGGTATCAGCCTCTAGGGTTTTGTGAGTGTGAGGGATCCTCTGGGGAGAGAGTTGATGAGATTGCCAAAAAGTTCTGGGATCCCAAATGTCAAGCCCTTGTCACGTTGATTTAAAGTGACTTTATGCAGCATTTTGAGCCACAATGACCCATTTGGACAATAGTTTGTTGGCTGATAGAAATGATCCAAAGGTTAATACTGATAATCCTGGGCAGAGAGAGAGAGAAGCTGTTCAGGAGTAAAGTCCAAAGTAAGTGACAAAGACCTGCACCCAGCGCACAAGTAGTGTATTTGGCCTCAGGTAAATGACAGATTGTAATGGGAGAAGCAGAGCGCATGGGTCAGCGTGGTGAGGGGCTGTCCCTGGGTGAGACAGGAGAGGAGGAGGTATGCTTGGTCTTCTGTTCTGTGTGGATGCTGGAGGCCCAGCTGTCGCTGATGACTAAGGATGTTACTAATGCACCCATTTCTCCCTAGAGGAGAGGGGAAGGACCACCCAACTCTCTTGAGCTTTTGAGTTGCTGTTAAGACCATGAAGGAAAGGGCAGGCCCTACTCCTCAGAGCAACCCGCCAAGGCTACTAGTCAGCCAACTATCTGTTACCATTCACAACAGTGTGTATCATTCCAAAGAGAATCTGTATCCTTACAATCTGGGACATCACAGTAGCTCTCGGTGCACCCTCTGATCTTGCTGACTTGTTGGTTCAGAGACTTCCTTGGCAAAGGAAGCAGTGTGTTCCTTTATGTCCTGGTACAAGCTCTTTGTCTCATCTCTGACCAGCATGACTGGTATATTAGCACTAGGCTAGTCCTCCGAGTAGCCCATCTTTCCTCGGTTTTGCTGGCCAAGAATCATGTACTGTGAGAAGAAAAGCTAGAAGATATAGGATGTGGCATTTCTTAAGGAGACCTTCCCATTAGACATGGATCCACAGGTCTTCAGATTTGGGCTGGTGAGCTCCTTCTGTTTACTTGTTACAGGACTGAGATTGGGGTCTGGGAGGGTAGCGGTTGCTGAGGGTACCTGATAGCTGTGACTGAAGCATTGTGATTGTAGGAAGGGAGGAGAGAGCCAAAGCCTGGGTCAGAAGTCATGGAAGATGGGTGGTAAAATCTTACAAACAAAATTTTGTAAAAAGCCAAACTATCAGCCAGTGTCATAGCTCCCCTATATATGTACCTGGAGTGATTAACAGTAGCTAGAATAAACCTCCAACTATTAACCAATATGTCCATGTTTTCTGCTGTCATAAAAGGCTGGGGTCCTGCAGTGACATCCTCTGGGCCTGCACTTGATTTCATGAGACCTGACACTTCAAAGTACCTTCTGTTCTAGTTTTCTTGATCCAGCACAAAGCCCACTCAGTGGTGATCACCCCAGTGGTGAGCACACTGGGCCTCTTTTTTATATTATTCAGATCTAAATTTTTATTTCCAAAACATGTTCTGACTTTCTAAAAAGACATAGTGGATTTATACACAGAGTCATTGGCCTTGCAACCGGAAGCCTCTGTGTGCAGTGCTGCCCACTGCCTTCTCCAATCTCAGCCTTCCTGGGGCTGTCAGGAGACAACAGGACTAATTTAGCACCTACTGCCCTAAACCCAGAAGAAGAAGTAAAATGCACGGCACCTGTATTTGGATTTGTAAGTCACACTCATGGGGGTGCTGTGCCTTCAGAATTGTTGCAAGATATGAGGGCCTGGGGGAAAAAAAGCAATGGGCTGAGTAATCTATAGGAAGAGACATTGCAACAGGTCAGGCATTAAATGGGTTCCAGGGGTATTGGGGTTAGTGGAGGAGGGGACAGAGTCATCAGCATAGTTGTCCTCCTCAGAGTGATGGACCTGCGAAGATCCTAGATTCAGTGATCAAGATATGAGAGATGTAGAGTCACCATGATCAGGGTAGAAGACAGGAGGATCTGAAAAAGTACCCTCAGGGAGGTGGCATTTGATCTGACCTTGAAGAATGAAGTGCATGTGGGCAGAGTTGGGGTGGGGAGGCATCAGGAGGTGGGGAAGAACCTGGTAGTGGTTTTGACGAAGGAGAAGGAGTCCTGTTAGCCTAGAGGGTGAAGAGGAAGGAAGAGAGTAAGAGTTGGGTGCAAGGAGGAACCTGTTGGTGACTTGGGGCTTCCCTCTGTGACAAGGGGAGCCCACGAGCATCCTTGTCATCCTTCTGTGCTCTTTTCCTCTGTAAGACCTGCCATGCCCCCCCCCCACAGGGCCCCTATCCACATAACCCAGAGTGAGCTTCTCTGCCGTAACTCGGTGCCTTGGACCTGTGTATGTCACTGTGCCTGTCTCCCTATCAGCCATTGCCACACATGTCTGCATCCCTGTTAGTGAGCAGAGAGAGGACAGGAACTTGTCTCAGGCATACCTTTGGTAATTCTTGTTGGACTGGAGAGGAGAGGGAAGGGTTACTGGTTTGTTTTAAAGGCACAGAAATGAGCATGTGGAATGCCTGGTCACAGTACTCTTTAAGTAGGGAAGAGAAGGAAGTAGGGTAACTGGGGTCTCTGGAAGGAGTCAGAGCAGCTTTTTCTTCATCAGTATGTGAGGGTTTGGGCTTGTCACCCTGGGTATCAGAGCAGAGTTGCCAAGGGCCTGCCTCTGTCCTGCAGATATTCTGCTGGGCTTGGTGCTGCCCAGGGCCACAGGTATGCATTGTGTGTGTGTGTGTATGTGTGTGAGTGGGCAACCTCTTCAACACATGCAGGTGCATACCATCCTCTGTGTCCCTTTCCACCAGTGGACAGTATTGTTGCCTACTTTGGCTCTCCTGCCCCATCTGGTTGCCATGGGTGCTCTGGGGCCTGGATACGTCCCCATGTGGTCCATGTGGCGTTTCATTCATACATGCTCATAAATGTCTGCCCCCTGCCTGCTCTGTCCAGGGGTATTTTAGTGACGCCTGGAATACGTTTGACTCCCTCATCGTAATCGGCAGCATTATAGACGTGGCCCTCAGCGAAGCCGACGTGAGTATGCGCCCGCCCGTGGCCGCCCGCCTCTTATCCTTTGTCTGTGCACACTCTGCTCCCCCCAACCCCGCACTGGCATCACCTGGACAAGTCACAGATCCCAGTTTCACTTCACCAAAACCAGGAATTTCCTAATGAGAGCTGCAGAAAACAGGCCTTTCAGGTAGAGCCTTATCCGGGGCCTTTTTAGACAGGTCACCTTTTGGAGGACTATTTTGCAGCATTACCCAAGTCACTGGTAGGCAGGGTAAGATAGGCATCTCTAACTGTTTTGGTTTTCTGTGTCAGCAGTGATATCCAAAGTGATGTATCTGTAACATGTTTGTTTTAGGGCGTTTTTTCAAGTAGCCGGGTGGTACAATGCTAGAACGTTCCCCTTTTATAACACTGTCCTTTTCTTCTTTTTTCCTGTTGTGCCTCATCTCTTCTGTGGCTTCTGAATGCTTGCCCTAACAGCACTATTTCACTGATGCATGGAACACTTTTGATGCCTTAATTGTTGTTGGTAGCGTCGTTGATATTGCTATAACTGAAGTGAATGTAAGTAGCAAACTTTGTGTCCTACAATGTAATTCGTTTTATTAAGTCTAACATAGAGGAGACTAGAACCCCCCTGACCCAAGGATCTCTACATGCTTTAGAAATTCAGGCACACGTCTCTTTTGAAAGACTAAGACCATTTTATGGTCTCCCCACCCTCGCCCCACTCCGTTCCCATGAAAGAGAATGGGGAAGTAAATGTAGAATTACTGCTTTGGAGCTAAAACATTATTTTAATAGACTATCTTATAAAATGTTAAGGGCTAGGAGTTAATGATGTATGTGAACTTTAGCACTCCTAGCAGTGTGACCTTGGCATGTCACCCGACTGCTTTGTGCCTTAGCTGTCCCAGCTGTAAAATGGGGTTTATAATGTGTGCTTTGATACCCACGGTGGTTCTGTGAAGGCACAGGAGGAAAACAACACAGTTGTGCCCTGAGCATGTGGCAGTTGCTGCTGGTGTCCTCACCTGCCCCCTGAGTCTGGCTGGTGACACTGGGGAATATCCCTTATCCTAGCTCCCCAAATGGTGATGCCAACTGAAAGCTGCCCAGGACCAGGAGAAGGAAGGCTTAGTTCATATCAAGGGTCGGGGGGAGTCAGTACTCCTTTCTTGTGCTCACTTGAATCCTTTGATGAGAGAACAAGCTATGTAGCAGATGGTATGACCCTCTCTCCTTCGAGAAGCATCCTGAGAACCCTCCTTAAAAATTAAGAGGCTTGGAGAAAGGGTAGCACCACCTCCTGCTGGCTCCTCTCAGATCTGAGCCACGCCTAGACCGATGGGCCTGGGCAAGCAAAAATGGCCCTGCCCACTGGCCTGTCCCATCTCATCAGTAAGTCTTTGTGGGTGTTATGTGTGTACCAGGTTGTGTAGAGTCCTTTGTGGGGGCAGTAGAGCATGGGGCAGAACTGTTACATAGTGATGGCTTCTTGATCCACATTGCCAGCCCAGCCTCTCCCCACACTTGGCTGGGAAGGGGCTGCCATGCTTTGCCTGGCTGACATCTGCAGAATTTTATGTCCATCCTGGTGCCCAGGTAACCTGTGCCAAGTAAGGACAATGAAATTCCTTTATGCCACCTGTTTGGGGGGCAGGCAGATTCTGGAGTGAAGACTAGTGGGACCGCCACTGGCCTGGCGATCCCCAGCCCTGGCAGTTCTAGTCTTAGTTCAAAACGATTTGTTGGATCTGGGGCTCACTTCCTTCTTGGATCAGCTAGGGTCAATGAAACCTGTTCTCCCTGCTTCAGAGGTATGTTGGGATAAAATAATATGAATATTTGTGAAAATGCTTGCTAAAAAGCCCAAAGTCTTAGGGAGATATAAGGGTGTCAATGTAAGATTTTCCAGTAAGTGAAATGGACTGTAAGACATTAGCATGTGCATGAAGGTATGACTTAAGCCTTTTAACACCCAAACTCATGCCGTGACAAGGTATAAAAATGGTATTTTACATCCCCTAACCTCCAGACTTACAAAATTCCACTTCATGTGAAATATTCCATAAGTCAGCTATAAAATTGCCATTCATAATGTATAAATTATTCTTGGTTATAAAATAGTCTGGTGTTAATGGGAGAACAGCAAGACCCTAACTCGGCAGCCATGGGCTCTCTCCTGAGTTTATGAGCAGACATCTGCCTGCTTAATCATCTTACAATGAAAAGCACTTATAACTTACATCAAAGTATACTCACATGAAAATTCTGAAACAGAGGCTTGTGTGAGTCAGAGAGGGTCTATAATAGAAATGAAAATATAATAAACTACAATTTTAGCAGGTTTCCCTAGAGCACTCAGTGCTTAAAGTGCTGTGCAGGTGTTGGGTATAAATGCCTGGTTTCTGGGTACCAGGATGTTGGCCAAGTTTGTTCTCTAAGTAAACAAGCCAGCTCTCTGAGGCTGGCCCACCTGCTGGCTGGTGGGGAGTGGCACTGGTTCACTCAGCAATAGCATGTGCCTGGCTTCCTGGCTGTCTTTCCCTGTGTTGGGCACAGGAGCCCACTGCGCCTGTCGCCTCTGGCCCAGCCTTGCTCACCAGCGTCCCAGTGTTGTCCTCCTTTACCTCTCTTTAGTCAAGAAAGCCACAGGTCTACAAAAGCCCACACTAAGTTTTTCAGTTAGCATTTGACACTAGGATATCTATGAAACAAGCTATCACTGGCCCATTCCTGACATTTAGTCACTTTCAGATCACACTGGGAATCACGCCCATGCTGTCCTTTCAGTCAGTGACCTTTCTCCGACCAGATGTAGCTTGAGGCCAAATCTTCTTCAACCAGTGGCAATCTCAGTTCTCTGTCCTGGGCCAGTAGAATACACCTGTGGGAGATCTCAGCATTTCTGTGCTAGGCCTCAGTGCAGAGCGAATGCTCCAGGCCACTTTCTCATTTATTCAGTCTTTCAATACATGTTTATTGGACATCTAGAATTCTCAGGCCATGGGTGAAGCTTGGGGGAGGCACAGAGATAAGAGAGACTAGGTATCCTTAACCTCTGATGGTATAGTTCTCTGAGCAGGCTATTGCCTCCTACACCCCCTCATAGATGCCGAGTCCCCCAGGGTAGCAGCACACATTGTGTCACTGCGTGGACATGTCCCCTGAGCTCCTGGGCCAGCTGAGCATGAACACTCTGGTCCATCATTGGCTGTTTTTAGGTGCCATAAGTCATCATTATTTGCAATATTAACTTGCCGTGCTCTTTCCCCCAACCTCTGTTGATCTTTATTTTCTGTTGCCTAATTGACTTTCATGTTGGTTTTATTTTTAGAAAATTGTAGCGGCAAGTATATATAAACATATATACGGTGAAGTCATTAAAGCAAAAGCACTTTAAAGACTGTATACTTGTTTTTGGCTTCCCCACCTTTGGTTTTCACTGAGTTTCACAGGACGTGCTGTAGGTCATGGTCATCTAAATTGTTTCCCGTCTCCCCTTTCATTGTCTCCAGCCTGGGGCCTGAGCTGAGGCCATCTTGGTCAGTCATGCTTGGCTCTGTGACTTGCCAGCATAATTTTCAAGAATGAACAGTCTGGCCTGGAAATGAGGAAATGAGAAATAGAGCCTGCATTTGTATTCTTTGAAAAAAAAAAGCAGTTTGGATGGCCCTTTCCGTTGTCCTGCTTGCATGCTCACCCAGCCCTCTCCACCCTGCTGCCCCTCCCCTGACCCCAGCCTGCTCTGGTCCTGCGTGTTAGTGCTCATGGACTCGTCTTCCTGGCTTTTGGTCATCATACCACCAAGCTGCTAAAATGTTAGACAACAACTGGCAAGCTTACTTTTGCTCCCTTTTAGATGCCCATTTGCCCTTTGGCAAAATGACCCAGCAACATACTCTCCCTGTCCCCGGAATGGCTGCTTTCACCATTATTGTTATTACTGGGGCGGGGCTGGGGGGTGGAATACTTATACAGAGGCCATGCCTGCCTTGTTATTACTTATTGAAGAGTGTGTCAAACGTCAGTAAGGAACTTACTCCTAGGGACCCAATAATTGTCCCTGACTTGTCAGGCCCAAGTTTGGACCAAGTGGCCAATTGCCTCAGAAAGCTTCTTGCTCTGAACCCATAGTCAGGTTTTTCAGCCCTCCATTCCCTATGCTCACCCTGTTGTAGGCACCAGGTTGCTGGCTTCTGGACACAGACTCAGCAATACCAAATATAGAAGCCCTTCCTCCCTGAGGTGTTACATGCCAGGTCAGAAGTCATTAGAAGGAGTCTTTCTCCAAAGGCTGGGTTCTCCAGGACACCTAGGGTTAACTGGCTCTGGGATGTTGGTTTGTTTCCTGTCTGGATTGAAAAACTGCATCCTTTCAGCTTTTCCAGAAAAATATTGGAGTTAATTCAGAAAGTGCAGATTGAGCCCTTCGGTTGCACTTGGGAAACTCAGGGCTTGTTGGGCTTCTGTAGTTGCAGGAAGGCTGACCCTGAGCCTGCATCTCAAAAGCCTGCTTGAGAGCCCTGTGGGAAGGGGCTGGAGAGAACACTGGAGAGCCCCAGGGACCTAAGGAACTTTCCCAACCCAGGCATATTATTTGGCCTCCTGAGGCTGGGGGCCATCTCCCTGTTGGGGTCCCAGCTGGAGACTGGCATCTCAGGGATGGAAGGAGCCACTGAGGTCATCTAGTCCAGGCCTTGAGATGACACTGGAATCCCCTCTGTTGAACACTGATCATGCTGCCCCTGACAGCTGTCTTTGGAAAACTGCCTAGGGAGTGAGTCCTTTTTCAATCTCATGTCTTCTGGCAGTGTCCTGTGTTGATCCCAGGAGTCAGTCCAGCAGCATGTCCTCCTCCATTCCTTGTAAGGAAGATGGTGGATCTCTTTGCATTCAATTCCTGAACCCTCATCAACTTCGAAAGAACCCACTGTCAGCTGTACCAGACCAAGTGGGCTTTTCTAGTGGTTCCATTTGGAGTGGCCAAACCAGACCTAAAAGGCATGAGCTGGTGTGGGTGACCATTGGAAGATGTGGCCCAGCTTTACCCTGGCTAGGACTGCAGTTTTTGGTTCTGGCAGCATGGTAGAATCACCTGGGAACTTTTAAAACTTCCAAAACTTAGGCACCCCCCCATCAATTAAATAGGAATCTTTGGGGTAGGACATAGCCATCAGATTTTGTCAGAGATCCCTTGGCAGTTCTCATGTGCCACCCAGGGTGAGAGCTGGCCTGTCTGTTTCATCAGGTTGGCATTTGTAGTTTGAACAAAGCCATTCTTAGGGTCCTTCCAATTTGTAAGATATTTTGGCAATTTACACTGTCCCCTAGTGCTGCCATCGGCACCTCACCTGATCAGTCCTACTGCCCTTGGTGGTGTGTGTGTGTGTGTGGGGGGGGTGCCACAGGCTGCATGGGGGTGCACGCGGCTTGATGTGCTATTTGTTCTTTCCTTCCTTCAATGCATGTTGCGCTGCCTTGTCCCTCCACAGATGCTCTTTTCTTCTGTTCTTTGATTTTTCTATGATTTCAAGTTCATAGCCCAAGATTTGCCATACGTCAAAGATATCAATTGAAAAACAGATGTGCACTTCAAAAGTCAGTTTGGCTGCTAACTTTCCCATGTCAGAAGGAAGGGGGTGGTGAAAGGTCTATCAGACTGGGAGCAGGATAGACAGCAGTGAACGGAAGGGGCCTGGACCGGAGCATGTGGCCAGGAAGAGTGTCTCCTTATCCTCTCATGGGTCTGACTCACAGGTTATGTGTGGACATTTCAAATGTGTGCTGTGGAGGGCTCTGTCTTACACACACTCTGGTCCCTTTAGAGTAGGCAAGCAGCAGCGTGCACACTCACACTAGCACAGCCTCACACTCCTGCTGCATGGACGACTGGAACCTGCCTGCACATGGGAGGTGGTGTGGGAGACAGTGAGATGCTGGAAAACTAATTCCTTCATTTGTTAAAGTCTTAAGTTAAACACCACTATCTGTCTCTTTTAGAAGATGTTATTTGTTTTGAGGTGAGATTATAGAAGAGGAAAATAATAATAGAGTCCTGGGGCTTGAACAGACCCATTGCAGAATTCACATTCTGAGTGCCCCAGGTGACCCAAGGACCCCTTTTTTACTGCCTAAGAATCTATTAGTCCTGGGTTCATAGTTGCATTGCTGAATTTCCGTTGTGATGTTATGTGCCCAGATTCCTCATTTTCTTTGAGTTTTGTAGAATTTTATTTTTGGTCTCGGGGGGCAGCTGTTGACAAGAGTGAGACTTCAGTGCAGAGCCCTGATTTTCCCTGTGACCCTAGGGAGGAGAGCCCATCAGGTCAGTGTGCACATCCATGCGTGCACACACGGTCCGCAGCTGCACAGACACACTGTGCAGAAAAGCTGCCTAGCAGCCCCGGAGTGCACACCTCAGTGCCAGGCCCCTGCCAGAAGAACCTCCTTGCTTTGTGGGTCTCCTGGTAGACCAGCCGTTTCAGCACAGGTGACCCTACCAGAGGGAATAGAAAGGCCATCATTTCCCAGTTCTTGTTCAGTCCTTGCTCTTTAACTTAAACATGCTTCCTGATATTTGTTAGAGCTTGCTTACAACCTCTTTGCATTTTCTGAAGCCCTTACTGAGCATCAATAAGTGCCAGATACCACACTGGGCACTGAGTAGAGTGAGGCAAGGCCCTTGCCCTGTGGGGGCACCCAGCCTGATGGGGGAGGCAGTAACACAGGGTGGTGAGTGCTGTGATTCTGCACCCTGGGGCCTGAGAAACAGGAGCCCCACCAGACCTCGGATGAGGCAGAACTACTGAAGCTCAGGGCAAACTGATCCTGAGCTCTTCCTCTTCAGTAGTCACTAGAGCTTTGTCTTCCTTGACAGCAGTCTGAGCTGCCAGTTGGGAAAAATAGACCCATTTTCCTCCACTGACTTGGTCTGTCCAGCTCCCCAGAAGCCCCACCAGAGAGGGTATTGTGGGACACACGCTACCCAGGCTTGCGGCCCCAGGAACAGAGTGTGGCCCAGGAGGTCTGTGGGCCACCGGCAGCCACCATGCTGTTTGCCCTGTTTGGTAGTCATCCTGTGGCCTGTGGCAGAGCAGTGAGTTCCTGACACCCACACTCTGATTCAGCAAAGAGAGCCAGTATCCCCAGAAGAAGCGGAGCCCCATTCTGCATGTCCATCTGTAGGGACAACTGAAATCTTGCAGCATTATCTTTCTTGGGTGTCTGTCAGCTTTGGAGCCTCGTATCTTGGGTGGCATGATTTAGGAAGTAGCATGTCAGCCCGTGTACATGGCTGCCCGCCCTCAAGTCCAGATCCAGGCAGTATCCCTGGCACTTTCTCAGGGAGGGAGGTGTGTGGTCCTAACATATTAACCACAAATTTTTGAAAAGGGGGAGGGAATGTCCTCCTGAACCACTGCTTCCTTCCCAATTCATTAATATATTTTCAATCTTTGATTTCTTAAAGCCAAATGAAAGTGAAAATGTCCCTGTCCCAACTGCTACACCTGGGGTAAGATCAGCAACTAGTCCCCAGGGGCTGGGCCTTTTCCTTGAGTTTATTTGACCATGTTGAGTTTTTCACTAGTTTTCCTGTATTCCTTTTCTGTATTCTCCATGATTGTTCTTCCAGAACAGTGTCTGCAGTGGTTTGCATTCATCATCCAGTGTCCAGTACTCTCGACCAGCCCAGTGTTCACCTCTTAATACACTAGACCACAGTGGATATGCATGTGCTGTGTGGACGCAGTTTTCCAAGCCCTGTGTTGTTAGCATGTAACTTTTCCTTTCATATCATGCTTTTTAAGGTGAAAAGGCCCTAGAAACACATCTTCAATTCTTACTTCTGTCACCTGTGTTTGCATCTGTTGCTGTTTTTCTGAAAGTGTTGCATGTTCTACTTTCCATTGGGTTTGACCTCTCCATGATAACCCTTCAGAACTCTGAAGAGAGCAATAGAATCTCCATCACCTTTTTCCGTCTTTTCCGAGTGATGCGATTGGTGAAGCTTCTCAGCAGGGGGGAAGGCATCCGGACACTGCTGTGGACTTTTATTAAGTCCTTTCAGGTAAGAGTCATGCCAAGGGCTTCTCTTTGTCTTTAAAGATCCCATACAAGTCAGTGATTGTCCCTTGTTGTGGAGAATCCAGACGCTCTTCTGCATGACCATGGTGACCATTAGGTCACGTGACTGCCCGGGTCACATGACCACCTAGGTCAACAGGGAATATGGAATGCTGGAAGGACCTGACCCTGTGTTACTTGGGTAAATCAAATAGGATTATTTCTTTAAAGGAAACAAAGTAGTAAGGACCTGCAGCTGAGAGTTCTGTACCATTTCCAAGACCAATAGAGATATGGAGCCTCTCAGTACCTTGGTCCAGTCCTCCCCAGGAAGCACTGTGGTGGGTAGTGATATCTGAAAGCAGTAGACTCCCAGCAGTCTAACAGCCCCTCGCTAGGATGGCTTCTCCTTATAGGGCTGCAACAGTCCTGGCTGCCAGCTAGTCTAGAACGGATCAGAGACCCCTGTCCCTGGGCCAGCACATCATCACCAGTGTCTAGGTTATCCAATGCCTGGAAGGATTACGGAGTGGACATTTAAGCATAAGCCAGGTCAAAGTTGTCATTTGTGACTCCTCTGCCCAGTGCAATGTGGTTCTGGTCTATTCCCGAACCTTCCAGTACCCCACCCAGATACTCTAGTCTTCTGGACTGAATCCATGGGGAGAGGGGTATAGATTCTCCTTATACTCATGTAGGGAATTTGTAGATATGCACAGCATTAGAAAATGAATCATGCATCTTTGTGTCTTTATTATTTGACTATTTTAGTTCAAAAGTAGTATGTGCTCACATTAACAAGTGAAGCAGTCCAAAGATAAACCAAGAAAAAGTTCATACTGACCCCTGCCACCTCTGAGGTAACCAGCGTTAACATCCCAGGAACCATTTTTCCACAGTGGGTAGGATTCTAACACGTAAAGAGGAGGAGGGATGGCATCTAGGGAAGGGGGTAGATCCAGAAACCCAAAGAAGGAAAATCTCAAGTCCTGTTGGGGAAAATGTAAGAGGAACCGGAGTGCAGCCCTGAGAGAGGCAGGGTGGTGCTGGGGCCTGAGGCAGCAGTTCTTGATCTTGGTAAGGGAGCGCCAAAGTTTGTGAATGAACCGCTATAAAAAATACAGTGAATTCATGTAATAATGTCATTCCTACTTACTTTTAAATAAATTGCTTGACTTTTTCATAAATTCATGTCATAGAAACTGAGAGACAGTGCCAACAAAATTCTTAAATATTCTGTAGTCTAAGAAGAAAATGCATATACATGTAGGAAAGCCACAGGGTTAGTCAGGATGGTGCAGCTGCACCGAGCTGGGCTGGCAGTCACAGGCCCAGAGCTGGCACACGTTGGATAGTTCCTGGCCGCTGGCTTCCTTCCGGTGCCCTTCCGAGGACAGGAGAGAAAGTGAATGGTTTGCGCGTGTGTGCCTGGCATTAGGTGTAAAACTCTGGGCACTCCTCGGGGGTGTGCCGAGCACAGGGACATCTGCTGTCACATAAGCTGAGGCAAAAAAGCGGTTGAGGAGAAGGGTTAGAGGACCAGGTCTGACCTAACACACGTGCTTGTGTTTGATGTTCCCAAGGGCAGCCCAGGCTGACAGCTGTCCAGCCTGTGCCCTTTCTTACCTCCCCCTCCCCAAGCTGTGTGGTTCTTTCAGAAACTGTGCATTTTGAGAAAAAGTGTCTTGCTTTCTACAGCAACAGCCAGAAAGTTCCACACCTGAGACTTCACCTTAAGGGAACACTTTAGGAGATGGCCAGGTGATTTTGCACAAAGTTTCTTGGCAAGGGGAACTACAGCGGCCCCTCGCCCCTGCCCCGCACGTGCCCACAGACTTAAGTGGAAGCCACCTCAATGTCAGTGTTCCAGAATGGTTTGCTCAATTACAATATTTCCACAAAGGAATCCAGTGAGGAATTTAAACATTGCTGTGAGAGTGATGTGTCTGCGTTGGCACTGTTTGCGGTTGAGAGACACTGTTAATGACTGTGGGAAGCTGTCCTCCTGCAACCGTGCCATACTCGGTGTGCACGTGGCTGCGGTGCTCAGGCCCGAAATCGTCCTGCTGGGCTAGGGTGTAAAAGGTCCTTCCTCTCTGTTGACATTCTTTCAATATAACATGGAAAAGAAAAGCATGTGGCCTCATATGGGTCTTCAGGCTGTGCCCAGGCAGTGACAGGGGTGAGAGGCCAATGCTGAGCCAAGCGCTTCCTCTCTTCCAGGCGCTCCCATATGTTGCCCTCCTCATAGCCATGTTGTTCTTCATCTACGCAGTCATCGGCATGCAGGTAAGCCCCAGTTCCACTGGGTCCTGTTTCCTGGATAAACCCAGGCCTATGGCAAGATGCACCTTGGCCACATGGAATGGAAAAATAAGGTCATGCGTTTGCAGCCATTGCCCCAGCTGCCTAAGAGGAGTGGAGATGAGAAATATGTGGCTCCAGAGGAAAGAGCCTGTGCCAGAGAGAGCCAGGCTCACAGAGCGAGGAGGGGCTGGAATAAGCCAAGGAAAGCTAGGTTTGGTGGCACTCCTCACCCCCAATATGAGTCTCGGGAGAGTCAACTGATTGAGAAAATCCATAGTTGATTTTAGCAACAGGAAATGCCATGCTAAAAGAAGCTGTAATTGTCCTATTTTCTGCACTGATGTTTTCTGCACTGAGAAGATATTTAGTTATATAAGTGGTTTATACTCTGAAAAATTGAAACAAACTAGTTCTGATGCTGTGGCGAACCTGAACTGGGAACATTATCTTGCCTCAGCAGCACCCCAAAGAAGTATGAAACCAGGTGGTTCTCTGACCCTGGCTGAGGGGCGTCGGGATACTTGCCAGCCCCTCCTAGGGTGGGGAACAGGACTGGAGCTTCATTAACAGCTGATCCCTAACATGGAGCAACTGCAGTGGGCAGAACCTCCAGGAGGAGAGGGAGGTGGAGGGCAGCCTGTGGGGCTGGACCTCCCTGGGTGGCCTCTGTGCCACGTTCTCTGCAGGTTGTAATAGATGCCCTCTTTCAGACGGGAGGGATGTGAGTGTAGAGAGATGGGGTGATTCCAGAGGCAGAGAAGGGGTGGTGCTTATTTATTTTATCCTAAAGGCATAGAAGGATTCGCAAGTTGCTAGGAATCCCATCAGGGGTTGTGAACCAAGAATCAATGTGCCTGAGCCCCTGTCATTCAGCAGCATGTGATGCCATGTGCCCGAATGGTCCTTTATGCAGGATGCTCTCATACAAACCCAGAGCTGTCTCAGAGACCTGCCAACTGCACTGCATGCACCACCACTGGCATCAACTCTTCTGACATGTCAGTCTGCTTCTCTGAGTCCCAAAAGTGTCTCCTAATTTCCCCTTACCTTGGAGTAAAGCCTACCCTCCTTGCTGTGGCCCGCTGGCCTGACACAAGCCTGACCATTGCCTGTCTGTACATACTCATTCTCTTCATTTCCTGGAGCACCTGTGTGGCCTCAGCCCTTCTGGGCCTTCATCTCACTCACCTGGAGGCCCCCTGGCCCAAGCCCCCAGCCTCCGATATGTGAGCCTCTCTGTGCTCCCCTGTCCGGATGGACCATCCCAGCTCTCATCCAGAGAAAGGAGCCCCTTGAGGGGAGAGTATGCCCAGCGTTACCTCTTTCTCAGTGGTTAGCATGGTGCCTGGCACTTCTTTGTGAATAAATGAAGTACCAAGCACCGAGGGAAAGCCCTGTGGGTGTGGCTCGAACTTAAGTTAGTTATAAATTCACATGTGGAGGATTTTTTTTATGACAGAATCTATTCACTTTTCCCTAATAATGTCTCCACCCAGATGTTTGGGAAAGTTGCCATGAGAGATAACAACCAGATCAACAGGAACAACAATTTCCAGACCTTTCCCCAGGCGGTGCTGCTGCTCTTCAGGTGACTGGTTCCTGCACAGGGCATGTCTCTCTGCAGCTTTGGCTCCCGGAGTGACAGAGGGCATGGGTTGTTAAAGCCACGTGCCAGTGCCCAGTGGATCGTGGCGGCTCTTGTATATTTAAACAGAGACACTGGAGTCTTGGGCACAGAATGTTGCTGGCTTATTGAAACTGCTGTGGTTGTTCAGATTGTGGCTGGCTTGAGGTTTATCCTTTTGGGAGTTAGTGGGTCCACCAAGGCCACCAGGGAAATTGAAGGAGATAAACCTGCACAGGGGAGCATGCACTGAAACACAGCCAGGAACAGAGAGGCCTTCTGCACAGCCATGGGGGATGTCCTAAAATGTGGAATTTGAAATGTATGGGATTGTTTTTAACCCCAGTTAATTAACTTTGTAAACAAGGGTGCCTCAAAATGAAAGAACCTCCTAGAAATCATAGAAATACTTGTTAATGTCTTTGGTGACCAGATAACAAGTCATTTGCAAGTTAGGCAGTTTCCCATCCTTGGCTTTCAACAAAATTGAATGGGGTCTAACCAGGTTGCCAGATGTTAAGTCGTTAAAAGATGATTAGTGATCCATAAAAACTTTAACGTAAGGGTTGGAAGAAAAGGCACACAAACAATTCTTTTACAAAAAGAATTGATGTGGTTGTATTGATTGATGTAAATCAAAGGAAGTTGTAGTAGGGCCTCCACTTCCTGAGATAAATTGCATTTGAAATAAGTAGGAATTTCATGTTTTCACTAATTCAAACTGGCTTTTCAACAAATTCCTTAGGTTTTGCTTCAGTGAAAAAAAATTATTAACATTTTTTAGAGGTCTAAGCGTCCAATCCCTTCTTCCCCTACTGAAAGCCCTTTCTTTGCTTCCTCTGAAAAAGGTGTGCAACAGGTGAGGCCTGGCAGGAGATCATGCTGGCCTGCCTCCCGGGGAAGCTCTGTGACCCCGAGTCGGATTATAACCCCGGGGAGGAGTACTCCTGTGGGAGCAACTTTGCCATCGTGTATTTCATCAGTTTTTACATGCTCTGTGCGTTTCTGGTACGTGATCAGAAGGGCTCCCCCTCTGAATGCGCAGGTGTGTGTGTGGTGTTTGGAATTCAGACCACTGATATTGCCCCATCAACTCGCGGCGGGTATTCTGTGTCGACACGCAGCACCCTACGCTCCACGTGGCAGTCTTGGCAGAGGCTTTTGCTCAATCATTGAATGTTAAGCACCTTCATTGTCATCAGGGCTTTGATGCTCAGTCACAGGCTTGGGGCAGTCCCTGCCCTGGCTTTTTAGGGCTGCCGATTTCTTTATAAACATTTCAAAGCCAATGCACATAGCAGTTACTTACCAGTGGGAATTATTTGGTAGTGATGAAATTATAAAACTGTAATGTGCTTCAGAAGTCCAGATAATTCATCCCCTTGCCCTCTCCTGGGATCAGAACCAAAACCATCTCAGAAAGCTAGAAGCCTGTGTTTCCTCAAATGTTCTTTAGAAGGAAAGTTTTTACATCCTCTTTGGAGAAATGGGTTTAAGTGTTTTTTGTCCCTGTAATGAGGAAGCACTTCCTAGGGTCTAGCCCACTTCATCCCACTGCAGCTGAAGCTCCCTCCCTCTCATTTGCTTTCACAGATCATCAACCTGTTTGTGGCTGTCATCATGGATAACTTTGATTACCTGACCCGAGACTGGTCTATTCTGGGACCTCACCACTTAGACGAGTTCAAAAGAATATGGTCAGAATATGACCCTGAGGCAAAGTAGGTTGGAAAGGGTTCTATGTGGCTAGTGTGGGCTGTTTCGGGCACGTTGGCTGTGGTTTCTGTGGATGGCAGGATGGGCTGGAAGCTCAGGCCGGCAGTGCTGCCCTGGACCTCATGCTGTACTTTGTCTCCAGGGGAAGGATCAAGCACCTGGACGTGGTCACCCTGCTCCGCCGCATCCAACCTCCCCTGGGGTTTGGGAAATTATGCCCACACAGAGTAGCCTGTAAGGTAAGTGTCCTGTGTGGGTGACGGCCTCTCTTGCTGTGACTTTCTGGTTCATTCAAAAAACAGTGACATTCTCTCAAACCTTCTGTCAGGCACTGGGGATGCAGAGGTGAATAATATGTGGTTCCTTTCCTTGGGGAGCTCCCAGAAGTGTAACTCTGAGGATACCTTGTCAGCCAACAATAAGAATAGGAAGGGGATTATGTAATTTGTCATTGGGTGAATGGAGGGGAAGGTGACATCGGCATCAGGTCCAGAAGGAGAGATGTGGGGGGTTGTCAGCCCGGGAAGGGCACTGCAGAAAGGAAGCACAGAGAACCCAGACATGGAGGTAGGAGAATGGATGTCACGTTGGCAAATGGGGAGTCACGGTGTGGCTAGAACAGAAGAGGAGGTGGCAGAAGGCTGCAGGCACAAACGCAGCATAGTTGGGAAGAACCTTCCATGCCATTCTAGTTTCAGGGAAGAAACTCGAGTGGACCTCCACATTAGGAAGGCAGCTCTGGTGATGGAGAAGTACCCTGGGCATGGTGGAACACCCAGGAGGGCTGTTGCAGTTGCCTAAGTATGAAGTGACCAGAGCCAGAGTGAGGGCCGTGGATGTGGGGACAGAGAGGAGGGGGTGGCTTAAAGCTCCACTTGGGAAGTGGAACAGAGGAGACTCGGTCCCTGGGCATTTCTAGCCTGTGTGCTGGTGGGCGCCTTGCTGTGCCCTCTGCTGCTGGAGCTCCCCTCCTGGGGAGCCACGAGCGGGGACCTGTTGTGGATGGATCCACACCTCCCACTCGCTCCGTTTCTGTAGCCCTCACATCAGACTGAGCTCTCTGTGAGCTCCAGCCATGATTTTAACAGAAAAGAATTCCCCTTTTAAAAAAGAAAAATGCAAGATTTACCTGTTTATACTTGACCCTATAGAAATCCAGCCAGTCTGCTTTCCAGGGTCGCTGGGCCTGTTCTAGATAGGCCCAAGGTAACAGAGCAGAGTCTACTGTGCGTTTCGGGCTTTCAAAGAAACTTTCTAAACCAGACTCACCGTGCCCTGCCCTGAAGTCCCTGGAGTCCTGTCGGCAAGTCCTTGGGGTCATTGCCATCTCTTTGATTCTCTTCAGCCTGGACTTTGGGATGGCATTTGACTTTCTTTCTCATAAATTTCCCAGTACTAGCCTCTTTTCTGCTTTCCAAGAACAATGGGTTCCCACTTGCAACTGTTGTCTTGTGTTTGCGTTTCCAGACCCTTTTGCATGAAGGATCTAAGTGTCCTCAAGACACACAGTGGTCCATTTTGTTGACTCAGGAGCTTGTCAGGAAAGGTGACAAGGCATCCTGGCTGCCTGTGCTAGGTTTGGAGACATTTAGTTGGGAATTCAGGTGGGATGCATCACACAAACACACATTTCCAGTCCATTCAATAAAGAGGAAAAACACCCCTTTTTTCTTAGTTTTTTTGGAGGGATACCCTGTCAGCCCAAAATAAGAAATTTGAAACTACTTACAATTATAATTACCATCATTTAGCACTTAGCTTGTTCCAGGTGCTGGGTTCAAATCTGTGTCCCTGATCTTTAATCTTTGCACAGCCCCTCTGGTGTGGGCATATCATCTGTTTTTACAGATGAGGTCCCTGGGGCCCAGAGAGGGCGTTTGCCACCTGCTCCTGTCCAACTCTCAGTGCCAGTGTTGCGGGGAACAGGAGAGCAGGAAGAGAAGTGGAGAGTGGCCCTGAAAGTGGATGCTGCCCTGAAAGACCAAACAGTTGGAGGAACCACGTGACTCCACAAGGGTCTCACCAGGGCAGGGTCCTCAAAGGAAGCTCCCTGTGTTAGGACTAGTAACGAACGCCACTGTGTGAGAACCGGAGTCCCGTGCCCTGCACCTGTCTCACTGAGCCTGGTACAACACTCTACCCGCACAGCAGCCTGAAGGATGTGCCGAGAAGAGAGTCCTGACCCCACAGCACACAAGGAGAGCTGGTTAATGAGAAAGGGAGAAGAATGCTGAAACAGTGAGATGGTTGAACAGTTAAGGTTAAAAACAAAAAACAAAACACCCCATCCAGGGGCCAGCATTTGTGTTTCATGACTAAATCTTTGATCTTTGTCTTGTGAGAGCCCTCTAGCTGGCAGGCGCTCCTCACATGGCTGTTGAATTAAATTGAGGGCAACTACCACAGAGATGAGGGAGAAACAGAATAAATGTAGAAAGGGGATATGGCTGTCATCAATCATTCACATTCTAGTTAGAAACTTTTCTTTCTGTTTGCAGAGACTAGTTGCCATGAACATGCCTCTCAACAGTGATGGGACAGTCATGTTTAATGCAACCCTGTTTGCTTTGGTTCGAACAGCTCTTAAAATCAAGACTGAAGGTGAGCATCCTCTGGGAGCAGGTCAGGTGGTAGAACTGGGAGGAGATGCCCCCTCCCACCTGCATTCTCCCTTCTGGGCTTTTCCTTGTCAGAGAAGGCCCCGGGAAGAGGGTGGTGAGTGTAGTGAGAACGTTTGTGCTGGCGGATGCAGCTGTGCCCACCTCCCTCCCACCTTCTTTCCTTCCTTTATTCTTCACTTGTCCCAGAAAGCTTGGAGGCGCTCGTTGCCACTGTTTATTTACTACAGAGTGGGAGAAATAGGTGGGAGATCAGGGCACACACATTCACTTCAGCTGCCCCTAACAACTTGTGTGACATTCAGAGAAGGATTTGGCTGTTCTGACCTGTAGTTTGTTTCTCTATGGAAAGGAAATAAACACACCTATGTCAGGGAAGTCCTGGGGACAAGATGAGCTAATGTCTGCAGAATCCCCTCTGCAGTGCAGGCACATAGTGGGCATGCGGGAAATACTGTTAAGACCAGCGTCTTTTCAGCTGACGCAAAGCAGAGTGGCCTTTGGGGGTATGCTCGACCCTACTGGATAAGCCCTGCAACATGGCCATTGGGGTTGGCTCAGTGGCAGCTTCAGAGGGGAATGGGAGGCAGAAGTGACCAGGATGGGAAGAAGTGAAGACTGTGAGGGAGGAGAGGGAAGAGGGGCCAGAAGGGACACTGTGGAGCCAGTAGACAACTGTTTTCCCGAGCTCAGGGTGACTGTCCAGCAAAGCCAGTCCCTGCAAGCTAATGTGCCCCTTGCAGGGTGGTCCTCTGTACTGGGCCCCGGCTGGCATCAGTGAGGGATGCAGAGGGCCGGATGCTCTTCTGTACTGACATGTTAGTGGAGGAGACAAACCTCAGCCCTTCTGATAAAAGACCAAGATCATGTGGGTGCTACAGATCAGTACACACAGCAGGAATTGGAAGTCTTATTTGGGTGAAATTTAGTCCGAGTCTTCAAGGCTGGAGGCAGGATTTGGCATTCTAGACAGGGAGCAGCAGCAACAGAATAGGCGTGGGCTTGGGATTCCAGAGTAAAACGTGGTTGTCCCCACGGTGGAGGGACCGTATCTCTTTGCTGCTATAGGAAATGAAAATGACCCTGACTGGCGAGAGTCTGGTGGGAAGGGTGCCCCACCCAAGGGCCCTGCACCCAGCCAGGTCAGGGTGGGAGGAAAGCAGCAATGGTCAGAGCAGAGAGGGGATGCTGGGTAGAAGAAGCAAGGCCTGTTTTCTCCTCTTGCATTTTGAATCCAGGGAACCTGGAACAAGCTAACGAAGAACTCCGAGCTGTGATAAAGAAAATCTGGAAGAAAACCAGCATGAAACTACTTGACCAGGTCGTCCCTCCAGCTGGTGGTCAGTGTAATCTATTTCCTAAGTAATTCTCGGCCAGCACATAGGTTTCAGAGACAGTGTCTCCAGCCAGTCCACGCTGCAGACTGCTTCACGCATCAGCTAGGTCACTGAGGCCAACAGCCAGCGAAGGCCCTCGGCCCCTTGGTGGGGTTGTTTGGGGGATGATATGAAGACCATGCTGAAGGAGAGGTGTCAGTGGGAGGGAACCAGACCAAGATAGCTCCTGCGGGGGTTTTCCTGTCAGTAGAGAAATTAATGTTAGCGAACAGGCTTGCTGCCTCAAACCAAAAAAACCTGTTTTTTGGTCCAAAGTGAAATGTTTAAAACTCATTTCCATTTATCCTTTAATGTATTGTTGAAAGCTTCTCAGGAAAAATAGCTGTCAGAAAGTAGTATTTCCCAAATGTTCTTATCAAGACTGAGTTTATTACCCTAATGACCAAAAATGTCCCCTTAATTAGAATTTAGAGTAGGGACAGGACTAACAGGCATGCTTGTTTCCTTTTGTTATTTATCATGAAATAACTGACTAAACTTTTTTCATATATATATATATATATATATATATATATAATGTGTGTATATATATATATAATTTATACACTGTTTTTCCACTTTTGTTTAAGTGCACATGGACTTAGAAGCTGAGGTGGTTGTTTTTTACTGTTTTATTTTCAAGTTTTAAAGGTGCAGTATCAGTCTACTCGGGGTCACCGCACAGCATTCTATCACCCCTAGCCCTGGGCACATGCTAAGCAGTTGGTGTATTTCATAACCAGCCAAACCTTTGTAGTGTCACTGCCCCCACAGCTTGTGAGATTGGTGTGGCTCAGGCCTGGATGCCGACTCCAGAACCCCAGGCCAGGACGGTGGCCAAGGCCTCTCCCCCCAAGAAGGTGACAACCTCTGGCTTTGGGGGTCAGACAGAGCAGCATGCTGGCCAGCTCTGCTCCTCAGCATGAAGCTAGAGGCAATATGAGTTTCTGTCGCTGCAGGGAACTGCCCGCAGCTAGCATGGCCTCGTGCTCAAAGCTGGGGACAAAGGCCCACCAGGAAGTGATAATGGGAAAAGTGCCCCCCCCCCAACAAAAAGGAACAAAACCTCAAACTCCCACCCAGAGAACCCTGGCTGTCCACAGAAGAACTGATACTGCACATTTAAAATGACTCTTTGGTTTCATTCTTTTCTTTATAGCTGCACACCCAAGTGCTCGCATGGCTTAGATATATTGGTTTTATAAAGTTGTAACAATGTGCTTGAGGTTTTTCTGCAGCCTCCATTCCTTTCAACTCTCAGTCTTTCAGAATATTCTGAAGCAATTCTGTTTTAGGGTGGTGGCATGGAATCAGAGTTATCTCTTGCCAACTGTATTCCCCTACAATGTTTCTCAAAATACAGATGCATGCTTCAGAATAGTGGGCTGTGTCTGTCTACATAAACCTTCCCCATGTGGCCAGCAGCCCTGCTCCGCCTGCTGCCCTCACGTCGCTCTTGCAGTGCCACCTTCCTTACACACTAGTCTCACTCACGCGGCAGGGCCCGTCCTGGCTAGGCCCACCTGGACAGCAGCATTTGCAGTACTGTGAAACCTCTTTTCTTTCTATTTGACCAGAAAAAAAGTCCAGAATTTGGCTCACCATCTAAGCTCCCTTCCTTTGAAAAACTGATCATCTTCTAGCTCTACTAGACTTCTAATAGAGGCTATATATTCTTCTGCTTTCTTGGCCCAGTGATGGGCCTTCGCTTTTTCTCGGTGTTTCTTAAAATGGATTGAGGTTTAGGATGATGTGTTAATCTATTTCAAAATGGCATCAGGTGGCATTGTGAAGCCGAGAAGAAGGGAGTGGGGCCTTAGAGGGGATGGAATGCTCCAGAAGTTCCGTGCCCTGGTTTGCATGTGTGCCTAGGGTCATGCCGATCAGGCTGAGCCTCGCTCGGATCACAGCTGTTGCCACTGAAGAGGTTCAGAAGGCAGTGCATTTCCGGCTTCAGTGAACAGACCCTGAATGAGTTGCCAAGCGGTGTTTTAATTTCTGTCTCTTTGTTTTTGACTCTTTCACATTCCAGTTGGCCAGTGGTTCCCAGCCTTTCCCACATCATGGCACACTTAAGAAATGAGAATATTTGTACAGCCACCTGAGCCAGTAAGTGGGTAGCTCTCCAGGGCTAAGGGGGATCTGTGTCCCCCATGCCGTCACCTCATCAGAGAGCAGCAGACCAGACTAGGGAGCTGTCCTGGTGCCTGGGTGATGTGGGGCAGAAAGAGAGCCCCTTCCAGACCTGGTGGTGGAGTAGGTGCTCATCTTAGGAGGTACCGCTGGCTCAGGTGTGATGTGAGGCACCCCTAGGCTGTCATGAGCTTCCTAGTGAGGGGACACTGAGGACTGACCCCTGGACTACCAGCTGGGAACTTTTCTTCTGCAGGAGTCTGGTTGTGGGGACAGCCTGTCTGCTGTCTTCATCATAAGGCTGAGGTGTCTCATTCATTGCCCACCTCGGACTTTCACTCCACTCTTCAGTCTTGTCATGCCATTGTGTGGGTCCTCCCCATTTCTTTAGAAGTCCCCTCTCCTCCCAGAGCTTCTCCTTGCCTTTGGGCCTTTGTCCTTGACCTGGATCTTTGGCTCCTGTGCCCTGAAGTGCACTCAGAGCTGACACCCCATCCCTTTCTGTCCTGTCCTGAGCCTGGGCAGCCTCCCTGCATTCATTCCTTCTTTCTATCCTTTTCTGTCCTGCTATAGCTTTTACATCTCCTGTTTTTGAGAACTCTTCCTGGCCTCAGTCTCAGTTAGCTCAGCATCTCAGTGGAGCAGACCAAGGGGTCCTTGGATTCTGTCCTGCAGAGCCCTGGGTAGCTGTTTCTGCTCTGGACTTGCCCCTCCAGGAGAAACACGGCCAGCCCTTCGCTCTGAGCCACTGCCACCCTAGCTCTGGGCCACAGAGGGCCAGGCCTTCCTGCCGGAGCCCCTTGGTCTCTGCTGGCTAGCACAATCCAGGCTGAAGGGAGATAAGGATAGGCCTGTGTGTGCTGGAAGCATCCCAGTATGAAGGGCCTTCTGTAGGTAGAGTAGTATTTTTCTGGAAGCCCCCAGAGAAGACTGGAAACCCTGGGCTGCAGAGGCTGTCTGTGGCGCAGTAGGTGGAGAATGTCCCCGGATCCCCAGGATCTTCTATGCAGCCTGCAGTCGGTCTACCTGACTGCAGCCCAGGAGAGATGAGGGATGTGTCTTCTGGGAGAGGCAGCCCCAAAGAAGAAGAGGGTGGCCTGTGTGGCAGAAGCCAGGCCATCCCTCAGGGAGGTGTGCAGAGGAGGAGAAGAGCCCAGACTTGGGTGCTCATGTTCTACCTCCACTGGCCTGGGGCAAGTCCTTTACCTCTCTCACCTGTCTGAGGGAGTGAGCAGATCCACCGTCTCAGAGTTGTAGTTGAAGAGGCCATGTGACCCACATGGAACTTCCCTGATACCAGGCCTGGCACCTGTGGATGCCCGATAGTAGGGGTAGCTGGAACTGGGCCAAATGGGGAGCAGCTCGAGAGCAAATCAGGTTGAAATGTCAAGACCCAGATGGTCTTTCTTCACTCGCCCCCTTGCCTGTGAGTGCATCCTTGGACCAGCCTGAGACGGTCAGGGGCCCCGGTTTCACATGCTCTGCAAAGCCTTCGGCTCACTTTGGTGACTCCTGCGCCACTCCAGGACTTGCCCAGCGTGGGCTGGGGAGGAATACAGCACACTCTCGCAGCCAGACCAGTCCAAGCATCTTCTCTCACAGGAGCACTGAGTAACTCTTGACCTACTCAATTTGGAGAGGTGGCCCAGAATGGCTGGGTTGTGTCCAGGCAGAGACACCTCCCACCTGGGCACTAAATGAACCCCACTCAGGGTGCATTAGGGAGCACAGTGGGCCTTGGTGGCTCCCAACCTGTGGTGCTCCATGGTCCATTAAAATGGGTGCCACCATTGGTGGGCTGTAAAATAATGGTGCTATGGCTCACAGCCATCCAGCCCCCCATGCTGAGGACCTCCCCTGCAGGGGCTGAGCGGGTCACATGCCTCCTCTCCTGTGAGCCTCACAGCTCCTCTGAGAGGCAGCCCACTTTACACACGAGAGCGCAAGCCCATAGAGGTTGAGCCCCTTGCCCCCGATCATATGTAACCCTTACAAGGGCGGCCTGGCCAAAAGGTCAGCTGCACTAAAGCCTGAGGGCCAGCAGACATTCCACCTCCCAGCCTCTGCAAGGCTCGGTCACTAGTCCGTGGCCCTGTGTGGAGTGCGCCCAAGCTTTCCACCCAGGAGGCCTCGGTGCACTGCAAATCTGGCAGTGAGCACCCTTGGGAGAGCGGGGCTTGCAGAGACCCCTGGGGCGCATGCACACTGCCAAGGTGGTTTATCATCAGACAGCCAGAGCCTCTATTCTGCCTCATGCATCACCCGTAAAATGCTCAGCAGAGTTCCAGTTCCCAGCGATCCATGTTGGTTGTTTCTGAATAAAACAGAAATAAGTCAGCTCAACCATGAGGTTAGTTGGTGCTGTCACAGCACAAAACAACAAGTGTTTCTGAATTACAGACCAAGAAATGGCATATGGAGGCTATTGGCAGAGAGTCAAGGGGCACATGAAAATCTGGGTTTGCAGCCACTTTACTGAACCTTCCTCTTCTTCCAAGCTTGTCTGTCACCTTCCTGAGGTCTCTATCTTTATCTCCAAGCACAGGGATTTAGATGGTTAATTGCCCTTGGTGTTCATGGTAATTACACATGCAAATCCCTATGCACAGGAGTGAAAATAGGGCCTGTGAAGACTTTCCTGTTTTGTAACTTTTATTTTAAGTAAATAACCAAGACAGCACTTGGTAGTGTTACTAATATGCTGCTCTATTAAATTCATAAATGTTATTTTCTGCAATGTTGAGTATCAGTTTATTTAACTGACTCTAATTTTAAGCCTTAACTGCTTTGCCAAACCTTGCTTTTTGCTAGATCTAGTCTCCCTCCTGTGTAGTAAGCCGAGAGCTCAGTGCCTTCTGCACTCCCCCTCCCCCTCCCCCAGCCAGAAGCCAGTGTTTAGGCTCTTGGTGCAAATGTGCTGATTCGGGAGAGCTCTGTCTGGTCTCTCCGTTTAGATGATGAGGTAACCGTGGGGAAGTTCTATGCCACTTTCCTGATACAGGACTACTTTAGGAAATTCAAGAAACGGAAAGAACAAGGACTGGTGGGAAAATACCCTGCGAAGAACACCACAATTGCCCTACAGGTGAATTGTTGTTTTGTTGTTTTCTCTTTTCACTAACGATTTTACAAGCTTATTTGAAATACTAGAGAGCTGACAGTTCATGGTTGAGCAGTACCACAAGGATTTTGTTTAAACTGAGATACTGCACACTCCCCAAAATGTGGACTAGCCATTTCTGGGCCATGAGGTAAGTGCCTCCCTCTCCTTGCTTTCTCTGTCATCCGCTGCGGCCTGTGGGACAGGACCCCCAGGACAGTGGCAGAAAAGGCACAGCCCTGGGGGAGGGGAGTGAGGGCGGACCTTGCACCTGTCTCCTACACGCTTCTCCCAAGGCAGAGCCCTCAGAGCAGGCCCCCACCTTCCTCCAGCCCCGGGCTCGGGCCCTCGCTGCCCACTGAACAGCTTTCCATCTGAACGCAAGTGCTTTGTTTTGTTTCTGTTTGTTTCTTACCCCACTGCTTGTTGGTTTTTGGTCCATTTCAGTAACATCTATCACCTCCCGGTGTGCGCGCGCGTGTGTGTGATTGTGTGTGCATGTGTGTGTAAGCCTGCGGTGTGTCTGTCTCTCTCTGTTGCCTCCTGATGGTCCTGAGTCTTGCTGTGCAAACGCTGCTCTCTCACACCCAGGCCAGCCTCTCATCCCCACCCCGCAGCCAGTCCATCCCCTCCCTGGGGCTCCTAGAGTGTGGATGTGGCCTTCGGGAATCCCTGGTTCCCACCGGAGTGCTGCACAGGAATGTAGACTCCTGGGTGAGCCTGGAGCTCTGCGGTGGGAAGCAGGCATGCAGGGGAAGGGAGTCACAGTGGAGAGCTGCACAGAGGGGTCAGGGAGGGGCTTTGTGAGTGCCGGTGACGGAGAAAGCTGGGTGAAGAGGGAAGGAGAGAAAGATGCTAAGATCTGGGAAAAGGGAACCACAGAGGTTGGCAAGTTGTCAAAAACAACTGTCGAAATTAATCCCTGTCATCTCTGCCACCCACAGTGCTTTAAGTCCATCATGAATAGCATGAAGAATGTTTCCTTTTTAACTTATTTACTTTTAATTAAGTTATTAAATTACTTTTATGTACCTGTTACCACCACATGTCTTAAATTGGGCCTTATAGGTATTGGTATGGGTCTATGTAAAATAGTCCTGCACTTTTTTTTCTGGGGGAAAATGCCCCATTTTGATTGTTTAGTGTTCAAAGTCATGGTCACTGCCAAAGTGAAGGCTTGTCTGTGATCTCACTGAGAGAGAATGGGAACGTGAATGACCATGACAGAGTGAATGAAGGCATGTGGGGTGCAGACGCCTGTGTTGGGTCAGTAGGTGCCCTGTGTGACAGTGACCTGCTGACTCATGATGAAGCCTCTGTCCTCCCCAGACAAGCCGCAGGGTGAGGGGAATAAGCTGAATCCAACTGCAGACAATTTCTGATTTTTCTTTCTCTGATCCCACCTCCTAAAGGTAGCTCAGTGAACCACAGGCCCAGTCAGATAGCTCATTGCTATCTCAGGCTGTAGATTTGTAAGCAGAGCTCTTTCCCCTCTGGCCGATCCAGTTTGCAAAGTGACAGCCCTTCTGATCACAATCTCAAGTAGCTGTAGACAGACAGCAAACTCAAAGGTGTTTGTAAATTTGAAAGGTCTCTGGCCCACACATCTTGAGGGCAGGGTGGCCATGCTGGGTGCAAAGAGAGAGGGTGAGGAACATGTTTCTGATACCTCTTCCTGAAAGTGGCCTCGGGCCTGGAGGACTGGGCTGGCTGGGTTCCTGAGGGTGTGGGACCCTCGGCTTCTAGGAATTGTTTCCCATTCTCAGGTTCCAGCTGGTGGGGTTGGTGGAAGTTGGTGACTTTTCTGGAGGGGAAACACACTCTTTCATGGGTGTCTGTGTTATAATTTACAATAATCAAGTTAGCTCTGTGTTATGAGAGCCTTCTGTTTTCTGAGGAAGGCACAGGTAATGACCACCTCGATACAGTGTTATACCTTTTCTGAATTCCCATGACTTCCTGATTAGATGGCTTCAGTGCTCGCTCTGGTGACTGGATATGTCTGGATGTAGACTTTTGATATTTTAAAACCTGAAAAACAACACATGGCTAAGTAATTACCACACCATATGAACGGGCTTCACTGATTATTCAAGTTGAAGATTTGAATGCTACATTTTTAAGTCATGGGTTGAAAGACTTTTCTACATTGTGTTACAGTAATGCTGAGGTTCTTCTTTTTCTCCTACCCATTTTCCATTTTGTTGTTTATAAAAAGAGTTTTATTTCCTCTTGAATAAATTCAAGTGAAATCCATATACCTCCAGTTAGGTGGTAATATCAACATGTTTCCCATGGTTCCCCGGGAGCCAAGGCTGTGGCTCTGATTTACGTTGCATGCACAGCCTACGGAATTAAGTTGTGTCCGTAACCTAGACAGATAAATTCTGAGAATGCATTGGACTCTGAAGCAAACATTAAAAGTAAAAAAAAAGTTTGTCTCCTTGAAGGATAATTCTAATTACATTTTTGGCTTCCTTGGCTCTAGAAATGGCTTTAAATATGATTTGTCACTCTACTTTTAATTATCATGAGGAGGCTCTTCCCTCCGGCATGATGAAATATTATGTGATGATGTAGCAGTTAGGGAAATGGGGTTGAGCGGTGATGGGAGAACTGCACCCATGGTGTCACTAGGACAAGTACATAGGTCCTCAGGGAAACACCCGAAAGTGGGTATGGCTAATTGAGAAGTGGGGTGAGTTGCTTCTTGCTGTGCCAGGGGTGCCACATGGCTGACCGATTGCTAATGGCAAGTGGAGTGTGGGCAATACGGTGTGAGCACAGAAGTCAAGACATAGGCATGTGCGTGCTTGTGCTGCGTAGAGTGCCGTCTGTCTGAAAAGCATCGGAACTGGGCCACGTTCTGGGCACCGCTTCCCATGAAAATAGTGTTCAAGGACACACAGATACACTGTGGCTTTCAACCCTGTGGGCTCCATCTGGTCTCCCGTGTTCAGACCAACTGCAGCGTCCCCTCCCCATGAAGGGGAATGGCTTGCGGAGCTCCTGCATCCAAGTGTGGGAGGAGCTTGGCACCCCGTGTCCTCTGGCCTCTGTGATCTGAATGAGTGTGCAATTTCCATCTGTCCATCCATTATCGACATTAAAGCCAGCCTTCTCTCCAGAACCTCTCCAGAGGGAATCAGAGAGAAGCTGCCCCAGGCCTTTTTTTTTCCTCACTCATCCCCTCCATGCCATATTCACTTTAGTTTGACTCAGCATTTGCTCTTCATCCATTGTTGCTGCATCCGAGCGACCTGCAAGTTTCCATGAGGAGCAAGTAAATAAAGGAACAACAGCTCTGCAGCCATGAAAAGTATGTCCCCTCCCAGCAACCAGTAATGCCCCATCACACCTTCCAGAGGAGGGCTCCTGTGAAAGAGACAGACACCCATTTTTCCCGTATCTCATGGAAAAGGAAAAAAAAAGATCCCAAAGTGGGAAAAGTTTTGTTCATTTCTTTTTCTTTCAACATTCAAGGATTCCCTTTATGCAAAAGACACTCTGGTGGAATCTGAGGAGACTATGTCCCTCATCACCTCAGATGGGAGAGCCTGCCCATCTTAATGACAGGAGGACTTCAGAGGGATAGGTTTGGTTTTTTTTTTTTTTTTAACCCTGTGGGGCTTAAGGAAGAGACCATTATTTCCAGCTTGCAAAGAGTTCGGTTGTTAGGTTTTATGGTGTTAAAGTGTGTACCCCAAGCCAACAGACGGTGACGTAGGTGGTCAAGTGGAAAAGTGGGTGGTGTAAGAGAAGCAAGCGATGCTTCTTTGCTGGTGTGCCTCTGCAAGGCCTGAGGGAGGCTTGTGCATAAACACGGAGGACAACGGGACGTTCAGCAGGCATTTAATCTGTAGAGTATCAGATACCTGTTTTCTAAATCGCCATAGTCTAAAAAGTAGCAAAGGGTTTTTGCTTGTTTGTTTGTTTGTTTAAAGCATGAAGGCTTTTTGTTTTCCTTTCTTTTTTACTCTAAGAAGAGAACAGATGCTAACAGATGAGATTTCACCGGCTGATTCATTTGTTTCAGATGCTTGAACGGATGCTTTAGAATTTTCTGCCTGAGCTACAGCACCAAGCTCGTTAGTCGGAAGGCGTTTGTGGCTAAGGCCTTGAAAGGGAAAAGTCTCAAGTGGGCTTATTTCTACTGAAACAGCATTTCAGGAGAAATGCAGGAGAAAGCAAACCCAAGGCCCCGGGGAGACCCCTTCCAAGCAAAGCAGTCCTCCAGAAGGTGGAAGCGGGGCCCTGGCTCATCAGCGGAGCCACGGCCTTCTGTCGCGGACACTGCTCACGGTGGCTCTTTTTCATGAAAGGGAACGTGCAAGGCTTAATCGGTTTCCCTTCTGAGCAGAGACTCAGAGAAAGGGAAAGAGTGAGAAAGAGAAAAGGAGGGGGGCAGCCGCCCCACAGAGAATGAAATGAACACAACTTCCTGATGCTGGCCAGTAAAAAAAATAATAATAAAAAGATTAAGCAGACCTGCCGAAGGTGGGCAGCTGACTCGGTTCCAAAGTCCTGCATCCCTAGTTTGCCTGGACTCCCACAGACTGGCAGGCCCCTGGGTGCTGAGCTGACAGAGTTCCTTTTATATGGCAGTCAGTCCCGACCTCCTGACCTCTTGACCATCTGGCTCCACTCTCTGCAGTGACCCAGTTCAGAATGCAGTGAGATTGGGCAGGACAGGAAGCTCAGACACACTCATTTAAACTAACACATACACCCGCATGCCAAAACCAACTTAGACAGCACCTCAGGTTCCATCTTAACGTGTCCACGGGAAGCACCACCACACCCAAACTTCATCCAACATTGTCCGTCTTTAATCTGTGCTCAAAGCCAGGCCGGGGATGCCTCTTTGGAAGCAGTGTGGTCTAGTTTCAAGGACACTGGGAGTCAGGGAACCTGGGTTCTAGTTCCAGCTCCAGCGTTTGGTTGCTGCGTGACCTTGGGCAAGACACTTAACCTCTCTGTGCCTC